AATAATCACATTCATCAGACAACTGTTCTCTTATTTCTTTTCCAACATCACCAACACTCGTCCTATGGTACATACTGTGTATGAAGTCAATGCAGTCAATACACATGCCCTGCAACTTAACACACTCCGGCTTCACCTTGGATTTAGCCAAACCTGCCGCTCAGTAGATGATGGTTGGAGAGAGAGAGAGAGAGAGAGAGAGAGAGACGGATGTGGAAGTTCTGTGGAAGTCCAAGGGCTGGACAGATACGGTGGATTTGAAGTGACGTGAAAGGGTGAAGCAGCAGTAATGTGTCCACCTGTATGTGTGTGTATGTGTATTTTGATCCGACACTCGACAAGAATGTGGTGTAAGGGTAGAATGAGTGTACCCCAAAATCTTCCATTAGGGTATTGGGGTAATATTGCCACTGTTTTTGCATAATGTGAGATGAGACCCCATCATCTTTCCTCCCCCACAACAATTTTATAACAGACAGCTAATAAATGTTTCATGGCAGAACAAGCTGCTCGCCTCGGCTTTATTAAATCTGAGATAATAAAAGCAGAGAGTGAGAGGGAAAAAGAGAGAGAATAGGGGGTCGCACCAGAGAGAGAGGTAGAGATAGGGAGATCGGCATAGACTTTTCTCAAATCGACCGGCTGTATCTCCTGTTTCTGGGGCAACGGGTCCCGCTGTCCCCCGTCGCCCCCCCTCTCCCCACTGCTTCCCGCTCCACCAGAGACAGACAGGAAATGAGAAACGGGCAGACAGGATATTGCGTTCTGGTGGCCTGGGGATTAACTGTGTTATCTAAACTAACACACACACCGACCAACACACACACACACACACGCACACATGCCCACTCACGCACTCACAAGCACAAACACACATCCACGGCCCCAACACATAACATTCATTCTCAGCAGCATCAGGTGTAGACACACGCACACACTCACAGTCTCACGCCACACGGACCGTGAAGATCACGCAGGTTTTTAGCTGCTACTTTCCACAGCACATTACACTGAGTCTTCAATATTACCGTCTTCGGAGCTGCACTCATGTAGAGTTGCTGTTATTACAAGTTGTGAGCGATTTACGGCGAGAGTCACAACATGAAACTGTATAACTGTGAGAGCGGCGCGGTGTTTGTGCGGAGAGGGCCTCAGCGGATGTGTGTGTGTCCCACAGGCTCACAAACATTACCACGGTTTTGATGATTTCAAATTCAAAAGGCCATCCTTTGAGTGACAGACTATTTGTGTTTATGATGTTAAACTATTGATGCATGGATGGACACGGGACACACATGACAGCATCTGTCAGTGTTTTATTGATGTTTGTAGTCGGGCACCTTATCACTGTTTACACAAACTGTGCATATTTATTTGTGTGTGTGTGTGGGTGCGCATGTGTGTGTGCCTGTGTGAGTGAGGGAGTGAGTGAGTGAGTGAGTGAGGGAGTGAGTGTGTGAGTGAGTGAATTGTGGCAGGAGGGGTAGCAAGTATTGTAGGGAATGCTGGGAGATTTTAATAACACAGAAGCAGTGCAGGGAGATTTAATAAAAGGAGATGATGTGATTACTGAACCCTGGCTCTGAGCCATTTTGCTTCACAGAGCAATATCCGCCAAAGCGTGTGCGCACACACGCGCACGCACGCACACACACATACACACACCTCATATCAGAGAAGTAGAGAATGAAACTTTAAAGTAAGGTTGTAGAATATCATTCTTCTATCTATTATCACATTACTATTTGCGTGATTATTTTTTTTTTTACCTTTATTATCACAGAATGTCTAAACACCCATTTTTGTAACACACCTCGGTCATTTTAAAAACATTAGGTCTTTGGGGGTTGACAATCATGGATACTATATTGTACTACATGCTGGAAGAAAGGGATAAACTGTGTGATCTCTGATGAACCGTGGTTCTAGGAGGAGGAGGAGGAGGAGGAGAAGGAGGAGGAGGAGGAGGAGGAGGAGGAGGTCTAAATCTGTCCAAATTGGGTCGTTTGGGCCCCAGACAGTAAAGCTGTAAGGTGGCAGGCAACTGTTGTCATTCTGAGACATCCATATTTATAGAATGATTGTGTTACGGCCCAGACAGTGTTGTGCTTGTCAAAGCTCACAGGCAAAACAATGCCACATGACACAGCTTAGGAAGTTGAGTGAGGTTCTGTCATTCTGTTTGTACAAACAGGATCTGCAAAAAAAAAAAAAACAAGCAGGCAAAAGCTAATTATGAAATCACAATGTTCGTACCTTTCTCTGCTCCTATGCATTAGATCTTATAATCACTGAATGTGTCATTAGATACTCTGTCCCAACAAAAAAAACAAAGCACAGGAGAATTTTGGCCATGATGTTGGGGACATGACCATAACTGATCAGTAATGCATGTAATGCAGTGTGATCTTCGTAAAAGATGACTTCTTCTTTCAGCACGACATTGATCTTTAGCTTAATGTCATGAAAACAAATCCAGAGGGGAAACCATGTGGTGAGACGATGTAAAAGCCTAATTTAGCCACCACATATCAACGTATGTCACAAACATCTACTATATACAGTATCACTATAGGTTATAATAGACCGAAGCAGCAGAATAATAGCCAGAAAATATATTCTACATATTTAATTCAATTTACATATTTTGGAGCGATGTCTGAAGGTTTGCGAATGCACTTTTGAGGGTGGGGGGGCTTGACATGGGAAAATTTGGGAGGCCCTGGTTTAGGTCAGTGGTTCCTAAACTTGAGTTTAATGCCTCCCTGTTGCAGATAGGACTCCAGTCTTACATCAGTGCAATTTCTCCGCTGTGGTACAAAGAAGAATATATTGACATTAAAATGAATTTACCTTGCTGTATCCCCCTCCCCCTCAATAGCTCGGAGTTGGGCCCCCTATTTCAAGAATCACTGCTGTGGTCCCTGCATTATTCTCTGCAGCTTTGTGTATTTTTGCACACATGTATACATATTTTTTGTCTTTAACAGCTGTCCCTTAGCCACACATGAAGTTACTCTGTTTTCCTTAAAAGAAGTTGCAAAATTGACTAGTTTTTCTGCTGCTTCTGTTAAACTTCCATGCCCGCACTGATTTATTGGAAGCTACACTCTGGTCAGGGCCAGTGTGAATGATACTTCTATTAGAGGGATTAGACTGATCTACTTACAGACCCCCCTCTGAGGCAGTTACCCCAAGTTGCCTTCAATTGCCATGTTGAGTAAATTCCTACCGTGCTGTGTACACCCTGATTAGGGAGTGTGGGACTTAACCACCAATATCATCGGTCTTATGCAAGCAGTCCTGTGACAATTCTGTAGTGCTCAGGAACAAAATACACAAGCATTTTGTTCACAGGCATTTAAGATGTTGAGGCCTATGTTTGGAGGCTGCACACAGCAGGTGGATAATCATTTTCATTTGTTGAATTTGTGTAACCTTTTAAATAATATTATCACCTAGTTTGTCTGGAGACATTTTGGAGGACTGTCTTTGTAAGACAAAGTTTCTGTTGGACGAATAGTTGGGTATAATCTGGTCCCAAGAGGTTCCTGTCAGAATGCATCTGTGTAAAGATGCTAATGGGCACACTTTTGTGTTTGTGTTATATGTTATGTTAGCGACACTGTCATTTGGGGAATTTCGGGAGCGTTTGGCAGATGGATTGAGAAAGATTAGCCATAGCAGCTGTGTTTGGGACAGAATCACAGATTAGGAGCACTAATGTGCAGACCTGGCTCCTTCTTTACACCCCAGATTTAGGCAGCAACACCTTCCTATCACTCAGTCAGGGAGCTTCAACACTTCTGTGTCCGTCCCTTCCTCCACCTGCCCGTCCTCATCCCTCTCCGCTCCTTAACCCCCAACGTCCCCCACTTTTCCCTTTTTATCAGGTGTGTTTTTTATGTTCTCTTTTATACATCCATGACATGACTACCTGGTTAAACCTCCCACTGTTGCATGTTTTTTTTCTTTTGCACCTCTTTGCTTTTAGATTGCGATGTAACGTAAAAAAAAATGACGAAAAAAATAGATGTTTAAATAAAGTTCAATAATAAATATCCAACTAGCTCTACATAAGCTGTGAGAAGATGGTTGCAAGTGTCTGTGTGCACGCCTGGGTGTGCATGTGTCTATAGTTGTGTGTATTTATGTGTTTTAGTGTGCATAGGAGGAGAGAGATTAACCCCATGCTATCCCCAATCCCTGGTTATGAGTTTACAGCGTCTGTCTGGCCATCGCACTGTTTAAACAACAATCTAATTAATCCTGTCTTTATTAGTTTCAGTGAACTGGGGAGGCAGGCTGGGAGGGCATGAGGGAGAATTGGGAATGCTGGCAGAACATACTGGGAGGGGGCAAAAGCAAGAGTGGGGATTTGAGAGGAATTTAATGGCAGGAGCTTAGGTCTTGTGAAGGGAAAAGGGATGTGACGAGGAGACGTAGGAGACAAACCCAGGGCTTATACCATCTCGCAGGAGGAGAGACGCAGGAACAAAAGCAGGAAAATGGTAGAATTGGACCAGTGAAATAATCCACATTAAGCTTTATTCATATTGTTAAATTAGTCTTTTAGATTGTAGGTGGGAGGTCAAAAGACAGAAGTTGACCCTATCATTTGCACCCAACATCCAAGGAGACAAAACCAGGGAAAACCTCTGTCTGGTTAGCTACCTGATCACAGGCTAACTACTGCCACCTACTGCCACAAGGGATGCAGTATAACACAATATAAAATGCAGTCTACTGTAATTTCTTCCAACAGATGTTTACCTTGTTGCTCTGTGAATTGGGTATTGTTTATACGACCTTTAATTAAAAGACTGTGCTAATCACTAGCACCATTAGAGCTAATTATGAATGTGTTACAGCCCCTTGTCACTGCCTCCATCTTTAATTACTCTTTTTTTTATTTCTGCTCTCCTTAACATTTTTAGTGCCGTGTTTTACTGTTTATACAAAGGTCCTTCACATCTGACTCCCTTCTGTGTGTTCTTAAGGCTCTTTGTGCGGAAGTGCAGTGCCTGTCTGCAGGGGATCGGACGTTCGGAGTTGATCATGCGCGTGTTGGGCCAGGTGTACCACCTGGGCTGCTTTAGCTGCTGTGAGTGTGAACGCCGGCTGCAGAGAGGTGATGAGTTTGTGCTGAAAGAGGGCCAGCTGCTCTGTCGCATGGACTATGAGAAGGAGAGAGAAATGTTGGCTGCGATCAGCCCTACACCGACAGAGTCAGGTATGAACCATGGTTAGGCTATTTGACACGACACAACAATCAACACATAAACTTTGTTTTTGTCAACTTTGTTTTCAAATTATATAGGTATATTTCTATATTACATCTCTGAGTACATTACAGTATATTTCTTTTTAGAGGAAGAGACCTGGACTGTATACGAAGTATATTGTCACATGTCCTGGTCCAAATGTATGTTGTCTGTCAACTTCTGTCAGTGAAAAGTGAGGACGAGGATGGCGGAGGTGGCTCTGGTGGAGGAAAAGGGTGCGATGAAGGCAAAGAACATAAGCGTTCCAAGCGACCACGCACCATCTTGACCACGCAGCAGCGTCGAGCTTTCAAGGCCTCCTTTGAAGTTTCTGCTAAACCTTGCCGCAAGGTGAGAGGAGCAAATTCTGTCACGCAAATGCACAATGTGCAGTAAAAAAAATCGTCATCAAGTTGGGGATCAACATATGTTGCATTCTAATATTGTTGAATGAAAAACAAAATGTCTCTTGTAGGTAAGAGAGACACTGGCTGCTGAAACTGGACTGACCGTACGTGTTGTACAAGTGTGGTTTCAAAACCAAAGAGCAAAAGTGAGACTGTGCTTTCTTTCTATAATTTGTAGACATTTTCTTTATGTCACATATCGGCAAAGAGATAATTCATGTGGTTTTTGAACTCAAGATGAAGAAGATTGCTCGCCGACAGCAGCAACAGCAGCAGCAACAACAGCAGGAGCAAGAGCAGCTGGGAGGAGCCAGGAGAGGACAGAGTAGAGGGGGTCGTCAGAGCAATGACGACAGTGAGGGTACATGTCTAATACACTATATGTAATTATCAAAATGGGTAAAACAAGTAAAAAAAAATAGCACGGTATTTTCTCACAGATGGATCCAGTACTCATGCCATGGATGGAATACTGGGATATCCCACTCTGCCACGTCAACAACTGCTGGCCCTGGACCCTAATATCTATGGAGGAGAGCCATTTAGACATGGACTTACACCACCTCAACTAAGCAGTGAACAGATTCATTCCTATGGTAAGACATAAGCTGGACATGTGGCATTAACATTTCGCCATCTACGCAACCCTCCAAATTATCTAAACTAGGATTTAAAAATGTTGCAACGATGGAAAATTGAAATATGAGAAATATGCACAACAACAAATAAGCCATCAGTAAGATACAGCTACAGAGACAGGTAACTTTGGCATTGGTATAATTTGAAATTAATAGTTAATAATTAATTTGAACTAGATGACCATCATACTTAATCTTAAGGCATTTTAAAGGCCTTAAAATATGGTCTGACTACATCTGAAAGGAAAAACTGTTGCTGGACCCAATGGTATCCCTATGAGGCAGCCAGGGGCAACCGCAGACATCCTTTAAAAAAATGCTGGCCATTCCACTGGCCACCCCAGGGCCTTTTCCCCTTTTTTGTCCCCCGACATCCAACTGATATGTTGGCAATAAAAACGGAATATTTTCTTTTTAATAAAAACAAGCCAAAGACATCGCCTGGAATACTTATCTCAATACTATGTATTTATTTGATAGGTCCATAGACGGACAGGAAAGAGACAGAACCTGGGTAACTAAAAGGCAGGGATCTAACATAAAAAAAGATCACAGGCCAAATTCAAGCAAATAGGTTGAATAAATATATTATTCAGCAAATTAAATAATTATTTTGTGCTACAATCAAACATTTGTTTTTCACTGATGTCCTCAGTGGTAAGAAGGCTTATTCCTCAATAACAATCGAGTCGTAAGGTAACAGCCAAGTAGTTTAAGGTGCCATTTCTTCCTGTACTGTTGTGGGTAAAAATTAAACACACTTGTTTGTCCTTGTACTTAAGAAAGACAGCTCTTCATTTGTGTGCACTGTTAATCTTTTCACTGCAGACTCAGAGACAGTTTTCCACGACCTCGACAGCGACGGTAGCCTCAGTCACCTTGGCGACTGCCTCCTAGCGGCAGGAGATGGGGGTCTACTTGCAGGGCGAGTGGGAAACCCCATTGACCGTCTCTACTCAATGCAGAACTCCTACTTCACCTCCTGACACTTATAAACTCTCACCCATTCCACCCGATCCACCTTTCACCTCAGAGATGCAGCTAATGGAGCCAGTCCATCAACATGCCTGTGGGACCACTCTATAGGGAACAGCTCTCACACAAACTAGTTGCTCAGCTCATCTCCTACCGTTGTTTCTAGACAACAATCACATGCTGGAATAACAGACACTGCACATGTCCAAGATATGTTTAGGATCTTGATTTCCCTTGTGGTATTTATGTGACGTTTAAGGAAACTCATTTCACGGCACCTCCAACGAAACATAAATCACCATGAACGTGGGCTGTTGATGTTCACTTCAGCAACTTCAAACTATTTAGGAGTCTTTGCAGGTCTAAAGAGCAGCTAAGGTAATACATTTGATTTGCATGTTGTAATATTTCATTTTAACTAGGCTTGTGACTAATAATTAATTAGTGGCTTACAAATATGCTCACAGGATAGTGTGCATGTTTGTTTAGCCTGAGTGAAGATTCAGGATTCTGGATAGGACTTAAACCAAACTTTTATTTAAAATGCTAGGTTGTAATGAGGAAAAACACCATGATGTAAAAACTACAAATTATTTTGAGAGCTTAATGTGGAAACAGGGTCGAATAATTTATTATTGTTGATTTCACTTGCCCCATTTTTTTTTATTGTGTAATCACTAAGACGCAGAGCAGCAAATAACCAATAGATCGTATGATTCCCTAATGTAAGGAGACCGGGAACATGATGTATTCCAAATGTAAATGTCTAACGGTATTAGAGTTAATTGTTGTAGTCACTTCTGTAACAATTACCTTCCCGAAACACTGCAAATTAGATGTGGTTAGGTATATTTAGATATTTTGTACATTTTTCTGTGCTAAGCAGCAAGTATTTAAGCAGTAGCATGATACATATGTCAGAAAATAGTTGTAAGGAAATAGTGTCAAACTCGAGGCCAAGAAAGCAGTAGTGGGACTCACAAAAAACCTCACAATACAGTAAAGGAGAGGAGAGTCAAACTAACTTCATTCCGATGCCTCTGATTGACTACAGCTTTTGGCATAACTTAGTGACATTGTTTGACTCTGGCCACAGACTCATGCTGCTTTTATAGTCATATTTCTGTGAATGTAACTTATTTGTGTGGTATTAGGCGAGTTCCTGTTTTATTTTAACATTCAGTGACTGCCGGGTGATGTGTTTTGAATGTAATGTTGCTGTATCTTCAATACAATCTGCAGTTTCATCTTGACTTGAGAGTTTATTTTATGGTACATGACGAATCCCCAATTCATGTGAAACAAATGAATGTTTCCCATCTCCATGCTTTAATAATTTACCCAGATGAAAAAAACCTGTTCTGCTTCGTGGTCACAGAGCGTTTGACTCAACATCCTCCCCCTGTTTCTTGCAGTGAAGCTGCTGATTACAGGTCGACAGTCTACTCCTCCTTTTTCCATTTTACCCAGACTCCCTTTTTTCAGTTATTGAATCGGCTGAAGCGTTTGTGTAGGAGTGTCAACATTCCAGCTTAATTTTTGACTCAGCCCAGGAGAACATGAAACGGAGAACAGAGGCAACCTCAAAACAAGAGAGGACCATGCCATATGAGTCAAGTGTGATGTACATTTTAATTCAACTGGATAAAAAAAAAAGGTAAAATTTAAAAGAAAGAAAGAAAGTGATGTCACGTTAAGACGGGTCAACTGTTGATTTCACATTGATCATACATTTTTGCAGAAGTAAAAGGATAAGGTATATATTATGTATTCTGTCGGGTCGCTGAGAATAACATTGCTGCAGCGTAGATCTAGTCGTCCAGTCGTCGCTGTGTGTTGAAAAATTGAATGCTGCCGTCCTAATACTACGACGATTGGTCTGGAGGTTTTCAGGAAAGAAAATTATTTTTTGTTAGTTTTAAAAGTAATAACATTAGAACATGTTTCAGTGCCATTATCTGACATTTAATTAAAAAAACTCAAAATGTTTGACACATCCAAGTTCCCAAGATGTTCAAGTTTCCTAAAACCATGTAACAACTGTACATAGAAGGTACAATGTAAAATTTGGATGAAAACATTGAATACATCATTTCTACTGTCAGGGAGCATACAAGTACCTAATAGTATTCATGGTACAAATTATTACCAGCAAAATTTAACTATTTGTTGTTATATTTACAACAGTTGTGGATGTTCTCTCTTGAGTATTTAAATGTTCCATAGATAATTCAAGGTTTAAAACGTTCTCCTACAGGATGTAAAATACAACAAATTACATCAATGTAGGACATAGCCAATTCTACCCAAAAGAACTTTGAGGCCAGTAAGAAGAATGAGAAACAAAACAGTTTTTTTTTTAATCAATATATTTTTTAGCTCTTTATAATAGAGTAGTGCAAAATTATTTGCAGCAGGGGCTTACCCACGCTACTGAGGTCCACTGTCTCTGCACAGCCAAGGAAGCGATCCACATGTGGTGAGCAGGAGGCAGGCTTATCCTGGTTATCTCTCAGGCAGCGCTCAAACGCCACAAACTCCTTTGAGCAGTCTTGTCTGATCTTCTGAATCACTGGGCTTTAACAACAAAACGCACAGGATTAGATGTCACCTAACTTTGTCAACAGGAATACAAAAGGAGACAGGGCCACATGAACTGACATGACTGTTTTTGTCTTACTGGGAAGACGTGCACTGTGCGACCTTCATCTTTAGCTCATGACAGGTTTGCTGCCATGTTGATGGGTTGAAGGCCACACATGACCCATACTCCTCCATTTCCTTACGACAGTACTTTGTCGTAATATCCAATGCAGCCTGCCTAAAATATGACAAATAAGCGTGTGTAATGTAAGTGACTATTGAGCCATCAATTGCAGGTATAATCGATATTATGTTAGTATTTTATATAGCCTATAGGTCGTATGTTTACAAAATTGATAAAACATACGATTGTTGAACCTGAGTGGCAAAGTAAAGCAAAAAAGGGGGGCTTAAATGACCCGGCTTGAGTTGGGAAGAAATAACTATGAATAATTACATCGACCTATTCCTCGTCAACATTTGTCTTTCCAGTATAGAATTTACACAGCAAGTTATAGGGTTTTTAAACAATTAAATTTGTTAATGCATTTTTTAAAATTACAATCCCATTATGCAGTATATCCTACTAGTAAACGTTCATTAAGACTCAAGGATAAAGTTGATGTTATGGCTGGCTCCTACTATAACCACTAAGCACCTACTAACATTTATAGTTGTAAAAATGATGGGAAAAAATACCCTAAACTTTTGATACACATACCCTATATTCCTGATGCAAATATTCTCAAAAATGCATTTAATATAAAAAATTATAAATGTAGACATTAGAGTAGTATTTAAGGCACGTCTTTCTCATTTGAGTTGCAATACCACCACCTGCTGGCTCTGTTTTACACAACAAGCAACTCGACCAAGACGTGCCTGTAAAGCTTCAGCTAGCTTCAGCTAATGAGAATGTGAAATACATAGAAAATACATACAAAAGTCAGCAACCCCACAGATGCACACACCTTCGTCAAACTTAAACATTAAATATGGTCTATAGTGGGGTCATATTAAAGAGCGGTGTCTTAATTTAGTTGACACAATCCACTAAGACTATTGAAGGGCCGTGATATAGGCAAAATTAAAAAGCTTACATCGTGCTCTCGTAAGGTTGTCCCACACCTGGAGGCTGAAGAATGAAGGTTGTAATGTTATCCAACTCGATGGTCAAAGCCACTGTCCTGCACGTGCAGCCATGTCTGTCCTCGTAAACCTACCATGCGTACGGCAAGTACTATTTGTTATCCTATTGGAGAAACTTGATAAATCACGTGATATGGCTCTTTTATACAATTGGTTCTAAAATGTGTCAATCTAACAGTCTGACCGCGCCTTTATAATGACGACAACGTTATTAAAGAAATAGTACCTTAATTTCCAAATGTAGTTATGGAGCAAAAGTCAGTAAATTATCGTTGTGATAAAATGTAAGGATGAAGAAAACAAAAAAGCAAATTAGCTGTGATTTATGAAAGACAATATTATGTTTTAATTTTCGCGGCTCAACAATGACGTGTCTCTACGTATTTACGTATGCGGAAGCTCCGGCCCGAGCGATCCAGGGAAACGGGCTCTAAAGGCTGGACGGAGCACTGTTGTGTGTATAATCGCATTTTACCGGTTATAGCACGACCGAGCCGTGGTAGCTAGAGCGGATCAGAGCAATTAACATAACACAATGAACAACACCAGTAAAGAGGCGGGGACGACTGGAAATAGCATCCTAGGACCGGGTGAGATGCAAATGGCTCCCTCACTGAACCACAAGCAGCATGATAGCGGCACCGGTGACGAGTTGGTGAGCACAGTGACGCTTTACAGGCGCAGGCCTCGGCTGCTACACGGCACCATCCTCCCGTTTCTGGCAGTTTTTTACCCGTGCTGGCTGTACGTGTGGCTAGGAGTATATGGTGCACCCGAGTATCCCGAGGCAGGCCTCCTGGCGTTAGCTGCTATCGGGATTGCGCACGTCCTCACAGCTCTTTCTGGTTATTGGTCCGTGCACGCGCACTGTTGGCTGACTTGTTCAAAGGTAAATATGAAAAAATACACGTTAACATGTATATAGTTTTTGTAACAATCTTAGCAACGCAACATGTTTAACAAAACTCAGAAACTATCTGTTATTATTCCCGATTGATAATTTGTACATTGTGTTTAAATTTAATAAAAATCTATGTAAACAAGTTTAATGAGACCAGCCTTTACCCTCGAAACAGCATCAATTTTTCAAGGTACATTGACTGACCTAATTTAAAGCGGAACGTGGCAGGTGGATAGTTATACGAATCTTGGAGAATTTATCAGTGTTTACGAGGATTTGGTTCATGTCATCCTGGACCTGCTGAGTGATGTTGAGATTAGGGCTTTGTGGTTGCAAAACATTTTAGGTATTTAAAATACATTATGTCCAGCATGCTACATTTGAAAAGGAAAAGGCTACAGTCATACATATCTATGCTAAAAATAACATTGACAGTTGCAGTGTGTGAATTTGTCACCTGTGCATACAGGAACCAGATCCAAACAAGGCTACACTGGCAAAGGTCATACCCACCCCCAACAATGGCTCTGCTGAGCTCGTGGCACTACAAAGGGACCAGGTCAGTCTTTGTATTTATTGTCAGTATGGGATTTATTGGCAAGACTTAAATCTATTTATAAAGTACCCCAATACTATTGTCTTCACTATTTGATATGACACTGTACTGTAATTGTTATTTATACAAATACAATCTTGTGAAATAAAGTAAATATTTGTTTTCCTAACAGGAGACACTGTCTTTTGAGTTTCAAAAGATCCGCTACATCTTTGACCACAAAGAAAAGAAATGTTTCCTTCCAATAGCATTCCCCATCAACCATCCAATGGGCTACTTCCAGTCTTGGCGGGGCTACCAAGATGAGGGGGACCTCAGAGCTGCAGAAAAATGCTATGGCACCAATCGGGCTGAGATGGTTGTGCCGGATTTTCTGGAGCTTTTCAAAGAAAGAGCCACAGCTCCCTTTTTTGTTTTCCAGGTCTGTGAATCTGTGTGATTTTTTAAAAAAATATGTTGTAACTGATTTTAACTATCACTGTCTTCTGTCACCCATCAGGTTTTCTGTGTTGGGCTGTGGTGTCTGGATGAATACTGGTACTACAGTGTTTTCACACTCTTCATGTTGGTAGCATTTGAGGCCTCTCTTGTTCAGCAGCAAATGAGGAATATGTCTGAAATAAGACGGATGGGAAACAAACCCTACATGATTCAGGTAGATGTGACTAATTTACTACCTTAAAATTATAAAAAAAAAGGTTCCTTAGACTCTTGACTGAAAAGTTTGCATTACATTTTCCGTATATTTTTTTATGAACTGCCAGGTGTATCGTAACAGGAAGTGGAGGCCTGTTTCAAGTGACGAGCTGGTCCCCGGTGACATTGTTTCAATAGGTAAATATTCCGCCAGTGTTTGATTTTCACATCATATCCGTGACGTTGTCAAATGTAGTGTATGTGTACGCTCTCCTACATAGGTAGATCTCCTCAGGACAACTTGGTGCCCTGTGACGTGCTGCTGCTCAGGGGTCGCTGTATTGTAGATGAGGCGATGTTGACTGGAGAGTCTGTGCCACAGATGAAGGTTGGAAATAAAGAAGATTATGAAATGTACTCTGATAATTGCAAACCTCTTTGCAATATATACAATTATATGTGTTGTTTAGGAGCCAATCGAGGACCTAGACTCAGAGCAGGTCCTGGACTTGCAGCTAGACTCACGACTTCATGTAATCTCTGGTGGGACCAAAGTAGTCCAACATAGCCCTCCGTTAAAAGCTAGCGCTGGTCTTAAACGTAAGTACACTTACTTACCAAGGCTGTTACTACCTGATGTTGGTATAGTGAACTTATTATCCTTGACTTTGTCATTGAAGTGAGGTGAAAGTCTTCATTTTTGTCTCTTCATGCAGCTGTGGACAATGGCTGTGTAGCTTATGTTCTGAGAACAGGATTCTACACATCTCAGGTGAGAAAATTACCTATTTGTTTCACATTAAGGCACATGGAGTTTGATCTAAGAGAAAAGTACAAAATATTATTTTCAAATTTGACTTTAGGGTAAACTGTTGCGGACCATCCTGTTTGGGGTGAAGAGAGTGACGGCAAACAACCTGGAGACTTTTATCTTCATCCTTTTCCTCCTTGTGTTTGCTGTTGCTGCAGCTGTTTATGTTTGGGTTGAAGGTAAGATGATGAAGTGGAGTTTGCAGTGATTTTATTGTCATTTAACAAAGACATTATTCATATTTATAAGATCATCTCACAGTTTTAAGTAATGGAATAAATTATGCCTCATTCAGACCTCCTTTTTGCATTCTGTGTAACTCCCTCAGGAACCAAGGATCTCAGCCGGAACCGATACAAGCTGTTCCTGGAGTGCACACTAATTCTCACCTCTGTGGTTCCACCAGAACTCCCTATAGAGCTTTCTCTGGCCGTTAACACATCTCTTATTGCACTGGCTAAACTTTGTAAGCTGTTTTTATTTACTGACTTGGACAAAACAGAGATGCTCTAACAGCAGTAGTTAATTTGATTTTTTTTTGTCTGCTCTTGTACAGATGTGTTCTGCACAGAGCCCTTCAGAATACCATTTGCAGGGAAAGTGCAGGTTTGCTGTTTTGACAAAACTGGAACACTGACCAGTGACAGCCTTGTTGTACGGGGAGTAGCTGGCCTCAGGTAAATGTTGCCCATGACTTTCAGTTGAGTTTTTACTTAATATATAATACAATTATAAAACAACAAAATCATTATATTGTATGGTTCAGATGTTTGTGAATACCCTAAACATTTAAGTTTTAACTATGCATAAGTATTGTTTTTTTTAAAGGGGAGGAAAGGAGGTGATGCCAGTGTCTGAAATCCCAGTTGAGACGCATCGAGTGGTGGCCACCTGTCACTCACTAGTTACACTGGACGATGGACAGCTGGTTGGAGATCCACTGGAGAAAGCCATGCTGACCGCTGCTGACTGGACGCTGACTAAAGGTGAAAGGATAAAACTAAGAATACTTAATTAGAATACTTGGATGTCACCCTGGAACCCACTTAGCTCTACCACCTATATAACACTGCTGTCCTGAAAAACCCCAACTTTTAGAGTGTGGGTGACAGTACTAGTATCAGGGAGTATACAAAAGAAAGGTTTGGAATGAACGGTGTTCAAGACAATGCTTGATAATCCCTTTATAAGCTGTAGGTTCCAAATGTTTGGGGTTACTGATGGATTTCTGAAGTCATTTGCCTCAAGTCTTAATGCCTGAAAATTGCATCTACTTCACAGATGAAAAGGTTTTTCCACGTGGCATTAAAACCCAGGGCCTGAAAATCCACCAGCGATTCCATTTTGCGAGCGCTCTGAAAAGAATGTCTGTCCTGGCTTCCTACGAAAAAATGGGGTCAACTGAGCTTTGTTACGTCTCAGCTGTCAAAGGAGCTCCAGAGACACTCAGAGGAATGGTAAGTGTTTGCTGTTTTCTGTTTTAATCAACAGTGTGTAGGCACATTCTAATGTGACTGTGTTTTATAGTTTTCTGCATACCCAGAGAGTTACGACACAGTCCACAGGGAAATGTCTCGAGAAGGAGCTCGAGTTCTAGCTTTGGGCTACAAGGAGATGGGGCATCTCAGTCATCAGCAGGTCTCTATTTAATTTATTTTACTCTCTACTCTCAGTCGGAGTACAAATACATTTTAACCGAAAAAATGATTGTCTATGGATGACATAGGTTCGGGAGATAAGTCGTGATGCACTGGAGTGCAACCTGCAGTTTGCTGGGTTCATGGTTGTGTCCTGCCCACTCAAGAGTGACAGCAAGGCTGTCATCAAAGAAATCCAGGAAGCATCTCATCATGTAAGCAAGCTGACATACACACATCTTTAAGCAGCAACGTGGAAAAGTAATAGAGTCAAAATACGTTTACTTTTGCTTTCAGGTGGTTATGATTACAGGTGACAACCCTCTGACAGCTTGCCATGTAGCAAGAGAGCTCTACTTTATCCAGAAAGAACACACAGTTATCTTACAGCCAACCCCCGACCAAAGTGAGTCAAGATTGTTGTCGTTGTTGATTTTAAGATTGTTTTTTACCAAAAAAGAAAAGTGAAATATTGAGTGTCTGAAATTGTTTTCTTTTAAAGGTGATTGGCACTGGGAGTCCATAGATGGCAGTGTGCGTGTACCAGTGCCCCCTCCTTCCCTGTCTTCATTTGTGCAAGAGTTTGACTTGTGTGTAACAGGAGAGGGACTGGCCAGATTAAGCAGTAACCCTCTGCTACTCCACACCCTGTTGCCCCACATTCGAGTGTTTGCTCGAGTCAGTCCAAAACAAAAAGTAAGCCATAAAGTTACATTTGGGCACTCACAATTGTTTGCAATTATTTCATAAATGTGCAATATGTGGTACTTGCATGTCTGTGGAGTCACAGATCAGACAGATGGTGCACCAACAAAGTCATTAATGTAACTGATTGGTCTGTTGTGTTAAAAGGAATATGTGATCACAAGTCTAAAGGGGCTAGGCTACGTAACCCTGATGTGCGGTGATGGTACGAACGATGTTGGAGCACTCAAACACGCCCACGTAGGTAGGTTTTGTCAGCCACATAATCTTGCAGACATTGTTCTGTATGATCTTATAATAGGCACTAATAAACCTTTTCCCCCTCAGGTGTTGCTCTGTTAGCCAATGCACCAGAACGCATCCCTGAGAAAAAGAAACGTGTTAGAGAGAGGGATGGGCCAACAGAGTCTAGATCTTTACCTCTAGTAACACCTGGAGGGAAACTAAGCTCCAGAGCAGCCAAGCATAGGCTGATGGCCCAGAGGGAAGAGCAGCTTGCAGCACAAAAGGTGTGTGGATTTAAAATACTTCCACCAATTCCACAGTATTTTTGACAAAGGTTATCTTTGTTCTATTGTTTTCTTTATGGCTGCTTTTTCACAAGACGCCTGCAAACAAAAGAATGAATCATTTTTTGGAATAAGAGAATAAAATGTACCTCGTATTGATTAAGTCTGTTGTACCACACTGTTGTAAATGCCTGGAAATCTATTGTTACAGGAGAGGATCAGTCAGGTCCTACGGGAAATGGAAGAAGATCAGATGCAAGTAGTGAAGCTGGGAGACGCCTCAATTGCAGCTCCTTTTACCTCAAAGCTTTCTTCAATACAATGCAGTTAGTGATACACACTTTATTTCAGAATTTTGCTTCCTTGGTTGGCATAGACTATAAATATCACTTTCCATTTCTCTACAGTTTGCCATGTAATAAAGCAAGGCCGCTGCACTCTTGTGACAACGCTCCAGATGTTTAAAATCCTGGCTCTGAATGCCCTGGTTCTGGCCTACAGCCAGTCTGTACTCTACCTCGAGGGCGTCAAGTTCAGTGATTTCCAGGCAACCCTACAGGGCCTGCTGTTGGCTGGGTGCTTCCTCTTCATTTCTAGATCAAAAGTAAGAATTCATTAGTAATAGTTAGTAATTAGTCAATTTCTCTTTCAGACAGCTAAAAGCTTTTGTATGTGTTTGTGTGTTCGTAGCCACTGAAAACATTGTCAAGAGAGCGACCGTTGCCAAACATCTTCAACCTTTATACGGTGCTAACTGTGCTGTTGCAGTTTGCTGTTCACTTTTGTAGTCTGGTGTATCTTTACAAAGAGGCTCAAAGCAGAAGTCCACCCAGGTAATTTATGCAAGGACGCAAATGCTGATTGATTTATTACCAGTATTTTAATTACAGTTCTTTTGTTTTTACAGAGCGGAGCAGTTTGTTGACCTGTACAAAGAATTTGAGCCCAGTCTAATTAATAGCACAGTGTATATTATGTCTATGGCCATGCAGATGGCAACTTTTGCCATTAACTACAAGGTATTTAATCCCACTATTGTAATAGTACTGTATCTGAATTTATGATACTGTGATGGAAAAATGAAATGTCTTGTGTGTCTGATAGGGTCACCCTTTCATGGAGTCTCTCAGTGAGAACCGACCGCTACTGTGGAGCATTGCTTTGTCAGCCTTAGCAATTGTGGGACTTCTCACCGGCTCCTCGCCAGAATTTAATGAACAATTTGCTCTTGTAGATATTCCAACAGAGGTAAGTTCCACAGATTCACACACACCGTTCTGTTATTTACTCTTAATAATAATAAAAGAGACATTACATTTGAGTAACTCCTCTCCCCATTCACTTCCTTGCAGTTCAAAATGATCATAGCCCAGGTTCTGGTGGTGGACTTTGTTGCAGCTCTTCTGGTGGACCGTGTCCTGCAGTTCCTGCTCGGAAAAGGAACACTCAGGCTGCCCTCTTGAACTTAGTGCCAACAGCGAGTGCTGCCTTTACCAGTCCAATTGTAAAGGGAGAGAAAACCATGACTGTGGAAGACAAAACTGTTATAACACACGTATAACAGTTGAGATGTCATGGCCAGCAGTACTGTACACTCTGTGGATTCCTGCCCTCATTCCACTTCACACCTCTGTGAACACCTGTTTCTGTGTTGTTTTTTTGTTTTTGTTATTTATAACCTTTTTCCTTTCAAACCTCTTCATTTTTTTCTACATTTCTATTTTTTTCTCTATCTCTCTTGATCTGTCCTTCCGTGCTGCTACAAAAGGCCATGACGACAGCAGTATTGAGTGGAGTGTGAGACTGTGTGCCAGCCAGAGTAAAACACAGACACACCAATGGGCATTCTCTAAGAGAATTGCAGAAGTGTTTCTAAGTTGTTGTTTTTCTGCTTTCTCTCCCTAATTTTGTATAAAGTGAAAAATATCTCTAACAGACTGATAAAGACAATTACAAAAATATACTGTAATGAAGTGTTTTGTCAAGAACAAGTTTTACATAAAAAAGAATGTGAAGACATTCATTTTCTGTTCCCAAAAATAGTTAAGTGCAGAGTGCCAGAATAATAACCTAAGTGTTTATTTAAAAGTATGCAGTGAAAACAGGACCAGGACAAACGTGGTAAAATAACTGGTCTGGTTTGATGGTAGGTTAATTACAGGTCACTTTTGACCATTCTGTTTTTTGGAGAAAATTACAAAAACCTTCATTTGATTAAAAAGAGTAGATTTTCACAATTCATGATCTCTAGAAAATAGATACACTGCACTTCTTCACTTTCATAACCATGGAAGTCAAACATTACAAACTAGTTAACTTTATTATAGGTCAGGGATACCATTTATATTTACATATATATATTCTTTCAAAATTATTATTTTTTCATCCGTTGCAAGGAAACTGTCTTAAATTGGGGTCAGTTTAACTTCTGTAGCAATTCTCAACGAGTACACTGTACTCGTTAAAGTTAACCTGAACCCAATCTAGTAGTCGTTCGGTCGAGAGAGTACACGTCAAACAAAATACAACCGACAATTATTTTAAAAACCCCACCATTTAAACCAATCACATGTAACCACCGTGCCCAGCGTTGACTTGAACGCACACTGGAAGCCCAAACGGCAAACACTCGTGTCTTATGTGCCGGATCTGCAACCGGAAATAAGGACTGTACAACATCTTCCTATTTCTGTTATACAAATGTTCCAGTGTCAGCACGCCCCCTACAGTTGATCGCTGACATTCACATCCTTTTTATTTTTTATTTTAGTCTCTTAGAACTTTTTCCTTGATAGAAAGAGCGTGCTTTGACGACTGTAATAGAAAAGCTCATTGGCAAAAATCTACGAAGATAAATAATTTAAATACAAAATAACTTCAAACAGTTTTTTAGTTCATTGTTATTTCAGCTATATAATTATCTACATGTAGGGCCGGAGTGGGGCCCCTTTTCAGCCTGGGAATTTCGTGCCCAAACCCGGCCCACTTTGCTATGCAGGAGGAAAATTGAATAAATGAAACAGCAGCGAGCTGTTACAATGCCTTTGTATTGGGTATAGTTCAACAGAAAATACTTCACTTTCACAATGATTCATTTTAAATTAAAATCAGATAAATATTTAAGGTAAAAAGGCTGCACGCATATTTAGTAGGCTACTTTCAGCATCAAAATCCTTCTAAGCAAAGCACTGGTTTCTGCAAGTTAATTCATGACAATGTCATTGTCTGTCAAGCTCAAACCAGTGACGAGGTTCATGGCTGGTGAGGCACTGACTTCTATGGAGTCAGATTTACAATTGTAAGAACAGAAAAGAGCATCTTATGTCACTGTTCATCCAACAGCATGTACCTGGTAATGCTTCATATCCATCAGCTTTCCTATTTCAATGACACTTACACCAACACAAACATACACAGAAATATATATGTCATCTTGAAAACAGGTCTCCTAATTGTGCACATTTGGCTGCATCTTCTTTTAAATGCCTTTCATTACCGTAACCTCGCCTGTACTTCCTGGGGAGAGAATTAAAGATGGCATTGTAGGTTGGAAATAATTGATGTCTGAGGCCCCCTCCTCTGTTCAAAGACGGTATTTCCCATGTCAAACTGTAAAGACCATGAAAAAACTGAACAAGTGTCAGAAAAGCCCTTTTTTTAAGCGCTGACTGTGTTCAATAAATAGTATTGCGGAATTACACTGATGTCACAGTTTTGTTTCAACTACAGGAGCCTTCTAATGAACGAACTGTAGAGGACTGGCGCCCTCTAGAGGATTTTCAGAGCATTACATCCACACACAATAACTAAGGTTTCTTAGTTTTGCTCCTTTATTTGAAACGAATACTGAACAGATTTTTTTTTTTGCGAAATAGCAGATATGAACAGTTCCTGTCTCTTCACTCGGTTCACTTTTTCACACCCTCCACCACATGTCTTTGTCTCATTCATTCAATCACTTCAATAAGACGACTGGAGCAAAGGTATCAACACAGTCCACTGTGTTTGTTTACAATCATGTCCTCAGTCAGTCATTCATTAGCAAAAGTAATTGTACAAAAATGCATTTGTGGAGGTGGTGCTGGGTTCCCCTGCACACATTTTATAAGCCACAAGCTTCATGTTTAGTTAAGCACTACTCGAAGTCCAATCCTGCCATAGTGTTTCACAATGCACTTCACTAGTCTTGTGAAATGTGTAGTGACAGGGCAGCGATGGTGGTGGTGGGGCGGGGGTGTAGTGTTGTAAAAGTTAGTGTTCATAGCCATAACAACACCTTTTCTCTTTCTCTTCATTTGTCATTAACTCTGGTTAGTGAGAAATAAATAGAGGTACTAGGTCTGACACCATTTCACAGAATGTACACCACACCCGCCCTCAGGTAAAAAGAAAACAAAACAACCTTTTCACTCTCTGTTTCCTGTTCACTCCAGCTTCAGCTCAGTGCTTAAGGGAGAAGTCCCCGGTGTTGAGACGGGGTCGAGGCAGGGCTCCAAACATTTCTGTTCCGTCAGTGGCTCCAGGGGCAAGCAGGGCTTTCATACTGGCAGCAATGTGCTCTAGGTCAGCACAGCCCATCTGGAAGACAAGTACAGACTAGGTCAAGACTCAGACATTTAGTAGGAAAATTCAGATTCCTTGTTTATATGCACAAAAGAGTCTTTTATCACATGTTACTTGTAAAACATTTTTCTGAGCGTAACCTCACTGTGATTTCACACATTTTCCACGGTCACATGAACTGATGGAGCTGTTGTGGCCATTAGCTGGTGCTTGAGTAAGCTGAAAAGAGAATTGTTTCCAGGTCTAGGACCTTAGACAACATGAAATATGCTAGTGTCAACTTAAACAACAGAATGAGTTCTCTCATGACCCACATTATTAAAGAGCACCAATTCACAATCAAAAAGGACATAGCTACTGTATGCATTTTTATTCGTTTTTGAGAAAGGTTTGTTTTTGAAGACATTTTCAGGAAATTATTAGTTTATTATTAGTTACATCTTGCTGATTGACGTATTGAAAAAGTTTTGGCTTTTTTTTTTATTTTAATCATCAAAAAGGACAGTATTTACTTATTAGTAATATACTTATTAGTACATGATGTTGCTTTTGATCAATGGGTGACGTACTGTGTTTGTGCACAATAAATTAACTTTGTCTCTGCACTGCCTTATCTGTATTTCAATTGTAAAGTGACAACTGGACGGGACTTAGTGTGATTTATTCTGATCTGCTGAATGTTGAGCGGACTCCAGCGAAGGTGAGACGAGTCTGTCAGGATGACTGATACAGTTGACAACTTGTTGGTTGAGCCACTAAGCTTGCTTTGTGACAATGATGCAGAACAGCAGCTTTGTTCTTTTTGTAAAAAAGCATACAGTGCATTTGTGTATGAATATGCACATGCATGCATGTCAGCGTGTGTCTGTGTGTGTCTGTGTGTGCGGGTCCTCACCCGTTCTCCACTGTTGCTTTCTCCCTGAGCAGCTCGGTTTCCTCTGCAGCCCCACACAGGCACAGACACTGGTAGCGAGCGAGCCAGAGCCATAGGGTGACCATGACGGGACGAGTACGCAGCCTTTCCCACTGCCATGACACGAGACGGAGGAGGAGCCTCTTCACTCAAGGAGCCTGAGGATGTCACAAAAAAAGATTATTTCATGTAAATAAAGACAAAACCTATCATTAAGTTCAATGGATGTTCTACAATGCAACAAATGAGCCCTAATGCATAAAAGCCATAATGAATATAAGTCACTATTCTACGTGGTTTTCACATAATATACATTTTTATATCAAGACTGTGATTAATACCTATCAATCAACATTTTCATGGTTATCCTGATAAATCAACATTCCTTAAAATGACACAAAAACATTCCATGTATTTCTAGAACAGAAATAAAACATGTATACGTATTTTTGTAAACACCTTTTCAGAAAATTATTAGTATAGTATGTTAATTTTGATCAATGGTTGACGTACCAAAAAAATTCTTAAACTTTTACCATAAAATAGCACTAAAACACTATTAGCATAGTGCTGGGCCTTAATGTTGCCTAGAAGATAAGCTGACAACAGACATGCATGGACGTAATTTTTAAACCGTTTGCATTCGTTCACAACAATGTTCCAGGATAGCTAAAACGGTTCCAGGACATTTAACCTTTCGTTTCAATTTCCATATGCCTTCCATGACTGGAATATTGGTCAATCATTTTCCAGAACGCATGGAAACCGTGGTGTTGGAAGAGTTACATCATTCAAGCAAATCACAGTTTAATTACAGCCCATCTTCTATAGTTATGTAGTGATGGGCAGCAGGGTGGTAGGAAGTGATAAACTACAAACCAAGTGCTACTTTATTAGAACAAATATGGCTTGAATCTCTATTGATCTGTATAGATTCTTAATGACTGAGACAAACCTGACCAATGGTGGGGTTTGAGCTGCAGTTTTGTATATTATTATTATATCATATTTCTACATTAACCTAATACTTGACACAGCAGTAAAATGAAACAGATTCCCCTTCTCAGAATCCTTACCATCTGTGCTCTCCTCCTCCCCATCAGATTCAAAGAAGGGCTCACAGTCCCGAGACAAAGAGTCTTCATCCATGGAGAACACACCTGGAGAACACACAGGATAGAAGTTATTAGCATATATAAACTAAAAGACAGGGACAGTTGCAGTTTCAAAGTGTTATGTTATTGTCGAAGTTAAACCAGGTCCGTTTCACTAATGTGACACTTTAATTCACACTGGTATACACAGGTTTCAGTCTTATTATTGTCTGACAGTTAGATCAAGAGTGAAAACAACCAACCAGCAGCACATTCTTCTTCCACTGACGGCAGAAACAAGCAATAAAGTACAGCTTTTTACAGCACCCTCTGCTGGATCAGGCTGCTTTCTACTGGGACAATGTTAAATGAAGATTTAACCATGAAATTTTAGCTTTTACCCTCATGTTTGAACATACATTCCCACTCCTTAAAAGCAGTCACAACGTTGCCTCAAATGCAGTTAGAAAGCACTCCAATATTATAGTACGCAGATCAATTAAACAAACATGATGTTGTCACACTGTAGTAAAAATTTTAATTTACACTTCTGGTGAGCTAACTCCCAGTTGACAGGTGGATTAAAAGTTAACACATATAGAAGATATTCACAAATACTACTATTGTTTTCAGTATCATTTCACCTCCCTGTAAAAAAATAACAACAACAAAAAAAACATACTGGTCCTCACCAGCACTTTCTGTCCCAAAGGTCCTTCTTTCATCCATGTCCTCCTCTTCTTCCTCATCTTCACACTCTTCTTCCAAATCCACAATACCAGCCCTCTGTCTTCCTCTCTCTGCCTCCAGTACACTCTTCTCTCTCACTCGTTCTCCATTGCTGTTCTGGGCAGCTACCTGCCCATCTCCAGCTCCTGAGTTGTAGATGGACGGGTAGCTTTGGGAGTACAGTCGGCTATTGGGACTGATTCCACCCACACCGCAATCTGCTGTGAAGCTCTGAAATAATGCAATGGTTGCATTGTATTACAGACTAACATGTTGAAATAGTGCAACCTTTAAATACATTACACAAGTGGGAGTAACTTACCCCTTTGTGTCCAGGGTCAGAGGACAGGTCAACCACCAGTTTGGTTTCCCCTTCCCCCTCAGCTTGGCGGGTATGCTTCTGGGCCGTCAGCATGGTTGTTGAGTGTAGCACACCAATATCTTCCATGTAGCGGCGCGTTGACTCAGCCAAAAAGCCCTGACCCCAGACATTGTAGGAGTAGTCACACTCCCTAAGAAAGGCACTGCTGCTCTCTCGCTTACTCCTCGCATCTTCACCTCTACCTGCACTTCCAGCTGATGACTGGAACTTCCTATAAGCTGTTAGTATGGCCAAGTCACAACCTGACTTCTGGCAATATGTTTCTGCAGCAGAAAGTAGTGCCAGCCAGCTCTCTCTGTGGTTGTCTGGGATTTCAGTCTCCGATAAGTGGGTGATGGAGGCCATGATGGTGTTAAGTGCTTTTTTTTCAGTGGACCAACTCAATATGAGTAATGCTGATGCTGATAATGAAGTTTTGGTGTTTGAACAAGTCAGAACAACGCTAAATGCCGTTTTCTCAGGGCATTCAATTCCACATAAATGATCTTATGGTTGACCTTAAGCGACTGGTGGCTGTTCATCTGACTTTGCTAAAACACTTGAAGTCTTTTGTTAGTTTTGTTTCTTCTTGCTGGTGGATGATGATGTTTAACATGTAGAGAGGCACAAGGTGACTTACAGATATGGTATTAAAGTAAATGCAAATATATTTTTAAATATGAATGTATATGGAGTGGCAAGTCTGTGGACATGTGGGGAGAGTTGTTGCCAAGTTGCTGGTGATTCCTAAAAGAAGGAAAGATAGAGAAAACTCAGTGTGTTAGAACAACATACCACATCTATATTGTACAACACTGTATAGACTTTTTTAAATGAACAATTCACATGCAAATATTTATGCCGTTGGGTTCATTTTATTTTGCTTTTATTTATTTTCTAGCAATTATAAATGTAGATCCCTCTGTATCAAGTTTAGTAACCTGATATTTCCCCGGGCGCCCAAAAAGCTGCCCACTGTTCACTTTGGTGATGGGTTAAATGCAGAGGTTAAATTTCATTGTGTGCAGTGATGTGTGTCACAATCTCACAATGACAAGGAGTTCCCTTTCCTTTCCTTAAGCACATAACAGAAATGTGTGTTTCCTACAGTTTTCCTACAATTAAATTAAATTGTAAAAAATCTACATTTCAATGTGCCAATAGAATCGCAGTATATCACAATATACCATATCACTGTCTCTATATCTTGATACATGCATGATACATACGGGAAGGTATTCACCAGGTATGTGCAGAGAAACTGTTGGGTAGTTCAGCTTATCCAGGTGATTAGACGTTTAACAGAAACCTGTTTGTTCTGACTGTCGTGAAGGAAAGGTTTTCCTTTATGGTCCGATAATCAATCTGCAAGACTGTAACAATATTAACAAAAACAAGACGGGTGGGACCTACTGGTAGATTTCAGTGCATACCAGTGTTGTTTTGTTTTTTGGAGTGTGGTGCACGTATCGATGTGAACATTCGTTTTAGAATAACGCGAAGCAAACCGCAGGGTGCAGTTTTATTATTGAAATGGAAGAAATGAAAGATTAATTATCCGAAAACTCCTGTGCCTTTAGGTGTCGTACCCTCCCCCCCCCCTCAGTCCCCCCTTGTGCTGTATGAAATCCACCGATGCTAACTACTGTAGCTACTGTAGCATGATTATGAACACACTCATTTCTGATCACCTTCACTGAAACGGGATACAAGCTCTACTCAAAATGTATGCACAATACTTGGAGCACTGCTGTTTTTGTTGTTGTTGATGATGGTGACTATCTCGTTTATTTAGTGTTGTTAGCAGCCGATTCATGATGGACCCACATTTCACCTCCATTTTAGAGGCTTTTAGCAGCAGCACTGACTTGTCAGTTTAATTGACTAAATCACGGAAAGATGAACACCCACCTGTTTTGGTTCTTTCTTCCACGTAATCGGGTTTAAAACATTCTGATAGTTTCTGTTCATTTATAATAAAACGTATTCTCTGTACTCATACGGCTCCTCTCCCCTAGCTAGACTTCGCACAAGCAGCAAGCTGGTGAAACATATTAATGACGTTTCCGGAGACACTTTTCAAAATAAAATATTTTTAAACCTCTGAGAAAATACACAGACAGACAGATAGATAGATAGATAGATAGATAGATAGATAGATAGATAGATAGATAGACAAACAGATAGATAGATAGCTTCCTTGACTCTTACATATTTTTAGTTTTTTGTTGCTGTTGCTCGGATAATTCAAATATGCTTCTTTTGATATAAATAAAAGTAAGATGCTGCATTATGTAATGTGAGTGTACAATAATAACAAGAGAAAAACAATAAAAATCTGGATGTTACACAAAGGCGCCACAGCGAGCCGACGTTTTTCCATTATTTTAGTTTGAAAGGTGAAATTCCGGGTTTGTTTTATTAAGACCACTTGACGTGATTTTGACGTCCCTGTTTACTGCGTTTGAGTCAAAACGCACGTTGTACACGTGATAGAGCTCTCTGGGCCGGCTTGTTCTTGACCAGTTTTGCGCACGTGTACAGGCCAGTCAGTGTAACGGCGCAGCCAATTTCTGGCCTGTTGTCATGAGATTTGCGCATGCAACAGAAATTGATCCAGTCATCTTTGTCCAATCTGATTCCTCAAAGGCGATTCATCTGTATATTTGACTTGGACAGGAATTTTATTATAGTTCATAATAAATCCAAAATATTTATATTTTAAAACAAGAGAACATTCTCCAAAATGTGTGCTGTGCATCCTGCACATAATTTTACACTATACACTTTATAGCCATACAAATATAAGACAATTTAAACTAAGGACATGCCTCAAGTCATTAGAGTAGCATAACAACTGAAAATTTCCCACACAAGAAGTCACGTTAACCTGGTTTTTTGAAAAGTAACCTAATGAACAAACTTCATGTACATCTTCTTGGATTCATCTTGCAGGACTTGTCGTCACTCTGCTGGTGCTGACATCTGAGGCCACGTGAGTTCTTACTGTTTGGAGCAAATTTTTATATTTGACCAAAACTAAAAGATTTGAGTGAAACCGTTTTGTTCACATCATAGTGAACCTTTCGTGTACTCCTCCATAGAATGCTCCCATTAGCAAAGCGATATGCTGTCAGCTGGAATACCAAACCGTACCTTTAAGTTGATGAAAACTATAAAGAGACAACCTCATCCCAACAAACAATATCAATATTACATTCTTTTTATATTGTAGTCACCAAAAACACAACAGAGCTATACCAAAGAATGTAAAACAATAAAGTAGAGGCACAATAAACAGCACAATGTTCTTGAGCTGTATAACAAAAAACTACATTAACTGCCACTGTGCAGTAGAAAAATAATGTTGTCATTTTTGGGGGGTTTATTATTATTATTTTTTTCCTCTGTGGATGAAAAAAAATAAAAAATTCACTGCTACACTTGCAACAAAGGGACAAGGTCAAAGCCACATGCATGTCAACCCAGGTTCCCCTAGTCCAGGGGCTGTGCACAAATATACATTTCTTTTACTAAAGAAAAAGAGAAGACAATACTTTCTTTCTTTTGCTTTGTATATTTGATTGGGAAAGTAGGATTACCTTTGTAACTAGAGGCACGGCATATCTTAAATCTCTTGGGATAGTTGAATAGAAGTTCAAAGGTGTTCATTCAGACCATTGTTGTCTTTGTGTAGTACTGTGTGAGTCTGACCGTAATGTCACAGAGGTCATTTTGTACAATAAGAGATAAAAAGAAATCCTCGGGAACCATTCATTCACTAACAGTTAAATAAGGGTCCCCAGTGTAACATTATACTTACACGCAGAGAAGATTTTTGTTACACACAATATTCAGTTTTACTGTTTAGTAATGTTATTATTATTAATATTACTACTAATAAAAATAATGGTATTATTACCACAATCATTATTATTATTAATATTATTTATTTTTTTAACTGAAATGTTGTTTTAAACGCATGTTCAAGAATAAATAATGCTATTTTGTCCTTGTTATTTCATGTACACTTTGGTCACACAACAACACATTGCATAAAGGCTTTCTGTCCTGTTTCTTTTGTGTTTTTGTCCCAGAGAAGGGATCCAATTTCCTTTTGTAACTCGTATAAATATGGCAACCCCACAGCTTCAAAAACCCAAAACACCGAACTCACTAAAATGTAAGTACTTTTTTCTGTTTTGTTGTTGTTATCATCGGTAAAATGCTTCATGTAAAAATATCTATTTTTATTGTTATCCTGATTTCACTATGAAGCCTAGATCTGTTTATTGAGGAATAGTCAGTTTTAAATGAAAACCCCATATGTGTCCCAGGATCTCCGTTTCAGCGGTCATGGTTTTGATGCTGGCACTAACAGCTGAGGCCACAGTTGGGTAAGACATCAGAGTTTATGTTCTGATTTGGATACTGACAAATCATATAGGAGAGAAAACATTTCCACATATTATTTTTAACCCGCTTTCAGCAACTGTGCTCTTTCTAACAATGTTTCATCTTTTTACTGTTTCAATACGTATTTCATTTGATTTGTTTTTTTGTTTCCAGAGACTAAATAGGAGAAAATAGGCAAATACAAAGAACAACCTCGGCAAACAATATCAATATTACATTCTGGTTTTATTATACTCACCAAAAACATAACAGAGCTATACCCAAGAATATATATAAAAATAAGAATATAAAAGTGGCATTCAGTTTTCCACATGCATACTCTTGTATCCTATGCATACCTTTGTTCTCCTCAATAAACACTGACTCCAGAGTCTTTGAGCACGACACGGAGCAACCTCTACCTACAGTAAAATAAAGAAAACTGCACCACTAACTACATTGTTCATTGTTAAAAAAGCCACTGGATTTAGTTTTAAAATTTTAAATCTGGGTCTAAATGCACATACCTTTTTGGTATTTTTGAATTCTGCCATCAAATACTAAATGTTTTTTTTTCTTTTTTTTTCAGAGACTCCTCTCAGTTAGATTTCTGCTCAGAGACGAACGAGTGCTTCCTGTTTGATCTGATCTGCAAGACGGATGACTATGAGGTCAGAGCAACTGTTTTTGTTTTTTTGGATTTTCATTTTCAAATATTTGACATCCTAAATCCCTTATGTTTGTTGGTGTCCTTCAGGTCCGCCACTACAAATCTGTGAAATGGGTATCAACCAATGAGACATCCTTCCTAATGGAATTTGCAGCAATGAAAACCTTCAGACGACTGTACAACTACATCCAGGGTGCAAATGAAAAGGGTTTGTGCATTTGACTGTGTGTGTGTGTGTATGTGTGTGGAATTTGTATACCTTAATCACACACAAGTAAATTAATACAATGCATGTCTATTGTCTGACCATTGTATTGTCTTTATTTAAATAAGGAAAGAAAATTGAAATGACAGCTCCTGTTGTTATGAGAATCCCTGATAAGGGTTTCCTTCAAACTGGCGAGTACAGAATGAGTTTTTTGCTACCCGCTGAATATCAGGCAGATCCACCCAAACCTATTGATAATGAAGATAAGGTAAGGTTCTGTAAAACAAGGAACAGGAAAGTGATTATGTGATCTTTACCACAAACCGACGATGAAAGTTGACTTGCAGGTGTACATCTACGAAACAAAAGATATGAACGTGTACGTGAGGAGCTATGGTGGATGGCTGACAACCATCTCAGATGGCAGTGCTGCAAAGAGTCTCTCCTCTGCCCTGGACTCAGCTGGTGCAAAATACAAAAAAGGTGGTCACGATGCTGCTGGTTACAACAGGTAAAACTATCAGACCGAGAGGATAACTGGAAATGGCTACAACTGACTTAATGAAGTGCATGTCTGTGTGTGTGTGTGTGTGTGTGTGTGTGTGTTTCCTACAGTCCAATGACACTCTTCCAAAGACACAATGAGGTGTGGTTTGAAGCTGATGGAGAGCTACCTTGTACTGGACTTGACTGAACTCAGACGTTGACAACTGCTGTCACTGCTGACACACGTGAAGTTTCCGGCGAAAATCATTTCACAATGACTGCATCGCCTATTTCTTTACTACGTCCGTTTAGGATATTGTCTTGTCCGGAACTGAATAAAAAGATTCCAACTTCCATTGCAGCACACAGTGTCCATTTTATTTGCATGAAATTGTGTTTTACAATGAACTCTGGATGACCTCTGTTAAGACAACAGCTGAGCTGGACTCATCTGGAACGTTTATCATTGTTCAACGTTTTCTTTTGATTTATCTGCTGTCTGTGGAGGACGAAGGCAAAACCTCAGAAAAAATAAATACTGCATAACCGGACCCGATTCCCAGAATGTGTTCAAACTCCATTGTTTTATGATGAGGAAATGTTTAAAATCACTATCCAACCACCAGAAAACACTTTATCTTAGCTCTTTCCTACGGCAGCTAACTATACAAAAACGTCCCAGGACCAAATTTTGTGACAAAAGTCCAAGCCAAACCCATCCATCAACAAATCTGCCATAAAATGCCGGCCCAGAAATGACATACTCTAATAACATACTAAAATCATTCACAAAAATAATCACTGCAATAGCGCTTCCTTCTTACTGAATTAACTTAACACTAAGGTTACATACAAATATTGATTTAAAAAAGAGTAAGGTGGGGGCGGTGTCATATTGAGCTTCTTTTTAAAAGAGGAAAGGTGATATAATTAAGCAGTGTCACAATCAATGCCTGCAAGACCGTATGGTGTCAAAAGAATACGCCCTTTAACTGCTCGTCCTTTCCTTCTGATATCACTCTCCACTTCAAAGCACCGAGATAATATTCTGCAGTTCATGTCGTACGGAATAAAATCAATGACGCGTAACATTCCATACCTACAAATAAACAACTAGAGCTTAAGATACCCAACAGAACTGATTTGCAGTGGAGTTGATTACATGTCTTTACTGGAAAATACTGGAAAATATCACTTGTTTTTATGAATTAATGACATGAATAGCACACAACGGCAATTTAACACTGCCGGGAATTTCACAGGTTTCCTCAATCATGTCTGATCTTATGTGAGAATTTTGGATGTGTTTAGAGCAGAGGTGTTCACGTTTTTTTGGCTGAGAGTTACTATTTAAATGACCAGGTTAAAGTGCTCTTTGTGAAATATATATTTACTAATTTAAACCAAATACACTTTATTTCTATTATATGTTGGGAAACTGAATAAACGTGTGTAGCTGTATGGCACAATATGATTTCATTCTTATAATACTGTGTGTGGTGACTGCTACACACCATAGGACTACAGTATATTTATATTTTAATCTCAATACCCATGATCTACCAGCACTCCCTATGCCATTTACTTTTTTTATTGGCAGCTTTGTGTTACAGTAAACCAGGGATTGCACTACTGAAAGAGTCCAGCAGGTGGCTTTCTGACAGTGTCTGTTCAAAAATGTGAGATGGTTTGCTGACTGAGTGACAAACTGTATAGGAGTGTCAGTCAGGAAATGTTTTTACGACACCATGGATCGAAGTCCACCTGCGGGCCTCAAACAACCATCAGTCCAGCGGGGCTGTGGGGCCGGCCTGTTCGCCTGTCTGACTGCTGAGGCTGTCTGTCTGGTATCCAGGTCGCTGTGAAAATGAAGCTCAGGTTGGACTCACAGTGGCGTAAAAGCTGAGACCCGTCTGCTGTAATGGACCTAGATGCTTATCACCCACACATGCCCTGGCCTCTGGTCCACCACCCTGACCACTGTCCAGATAATCTGGAGGGATCATCAACATGTGAGTGTAATGTTTGAATTTGAATGGTGCCATTTCTGATAAGCATCACAAGCTGCTCTTTGAACGTCTACAGGTCGTTCTGATTTACCAGTGTTTGGCAAAGTGGGCTTTTTGGCTGTTGCTAGCACCTTCTGAAAATGTGTACAAAAAAGTAGTTGTGTCACATATTTCCATGTAAAAGACTAGGATCAGTCGTGACCAGTGGAATCTCATAATTACATAAGGGTCATATCAGAGATCGCAGTCAAAGGAAATCAAACAAGGTGATAAGATACAGTTCTCTACAATGGGATGGTCCTGTGCTGCTCTTTACTCTCTTGACATCAGCAGGTACTATCTGCAGATGACACAATTACATGTCAGCAGTGCAGCCAGTCTTTTTAAACACCACCTGTGTCAATTGACCTTAAATGTATAGACTGTGTTCAAGGGCAGGTCACACAGATCGTAGCTAACTGAATACAAGTGTGAAATTAATGGAAATAAAGTTTTGTCTCTGCATATCTACATGCTAAATACCAGTGTGAGCAGTGGTTCCACAGGAGCTGCTTCTTTGACTCGTCTAAGAACTGAAACTGCACTCCTTTAAAATGTTCTTGCCGTTTCAGGAAAAGAAAGATAACCTGCTGAATTGTTTCCATGTTCTCTCACTAACAGCTGTAGCCAAACTTGACCAAAAGGTTTATGTCTCTTTTGATTGACTCAAATACAACAGCTACTCTCCAATGTTGTCCTGCAGCTCAGGAGGTCAAGGCTGAGACAAATGGCAGACCAGAGGTAGAGTCGGAGGATGCTTGTCCCATCTGTGGAGACAAAGTGTCAGGATACCACTATGGACTGCTCACTTGTGAAAGTTGTAAGGTAATTTTTGTTTTCACTGTTTGTTTGTTTTTTTTTTGAATGTTAAGTAACAGCAGCAGCTAACATATCATTTCACCACAAATTATTTTGCTGATAAAAGGTCGCTCAAAAAAGAAAAAGACCAAGTTATGGCTTTTATTTTAAGCAGTTCCTCGCACTGTTTAGTGACATGTGATGAGCCTCATCATGTCACTTAAACTTTTAGTGAAAAGTACAAGTAAATCAGCTAACTACTGATTTTTTAAGCAATGTGTGATCTTTCCAAAGCCAAAGCCACGACTTTCTTTCCTCTGGCTGCAGGGATTCTTCAAACGCTCAGTGCAGAATAACAAGCACTACACGTGTTCAGAACAGCAGCGCTGCCCCATGAATCTGTCCCAGAGGAAACGCTGTCCTTTCTGCCGCTTCCAGAAGTGTTTGGCAGTGGGAATGAAAAGAGAAGGTTCTGTTTTCAGTTTTGTACACATACATCTTATCATAGTGTTGATAAATAAGTACTGTTGTGACCTGGATCACACCGACAGTAATGGCTCTGTATCTTGGAGCTGCCATACTACAAACAGTATCCACGTCATAAACGTCATTATCTTTGAAAACAAATTCTAAAAACACGTGATTAATGTGTTGTCGACAGCTGTAAGAGCGGATCGTATGAGAGGTGGCAGAAATAAATTTGGCCCTCTGTACCGACGGGACAGGCAGATGAAACAGCAAAGGGCTCACCTTCAGACAAGCAGTGCCCCCTACAGGATTAAGCAGGAAACCACCCACGCACAACGCCCCACCACAAGAGATGACCTCCCTGTGGCCAACCACACCAGCACACCATCGTCTTCAGACGCTTTTCATCAGACCTACATGTATTCGCCCGGCACGGTGCAGTCAGGAGTGTCTGTGCCTCTGGACTGCACGGTGAACACTGACAGAATTCTCACTCTTCCGTCCTTGCCTTGTCCTGCCAGACACTACAGCACGCTCCCTGTTTTCTCCCAGGAGAAGGGAGACAGGGCGTTCACCCGCAGCACAGCTCCTGCTGACCCTGTCGTTCACCCCAACAGTGCATTCACACCAAGAGGCACACCGGTGTCCGCAACATGTTCCGCGCTAAGATCCGGCCCATCACTCTCCCGAGCTCTCACTCAAACCTCACACACTCCTCCGCCCGCCTATCCCACCACCGACTTCTTAAACCTTCTAATGGAATGTGAGCAGGACGAGAGCCAGATGTGTGCCAAAGTCCTGGCCAGCCTGCAGAGAGAACAGGCCAACCGAGGGAAACATGATTGTCTCAATACATTCAGTATCATTTGTAAAATGGCTGACCAGACTCTGTTTGGACTGGTTGAGTGGGCCAGGAACACCACGCTCTTCAAGGAGTTGAAGGTGATTCAATTATGGCATGTTGCAGGCTTGATGTGTGTGTGTGTGTGTGTGTGGAAACTATGCTTTAGGTGAAAAATGATCTTTATGGAGACACTTTGTCTGTCCCGACTAAGTAAGGATAATTTAAGATGGAGTTGGAGTTGGATAACTAACTATAACTTAGAGTTATCGATACATTGGGAAATTAAGATCATGTATAGATCTGTCAGATGTATTTTATATATAAATGTTAGATAAAATAAATGTCATGTATATACATTTTTCAACAGTCAAATTGCCTGTGTGATTTTCTTTGAGGGCTTCCAGCAGTAAGGCAACATTACACACTGTATTTCTATGCCTATCATTGTAGGTGGAGGACCAGATGGTGCTACTGCAGAGCTGTTGGAGCGAGCTGCTAGTTCTGGACCACCTGTGCAGACAGGTGGACTACGGCAAAGAGGGATGCATATATTTGGTCACGGGACAACAGGTTAGTTTGATACCAGTTATTTAAACATAAAGGTTTGGTAGACATAAATAAATGAATACTTTAAATGCCTGGAACACGCAGCAAAGAATGTAACACAGGTGAAATTGTTGTCGTAACATGTTTATGTGCAAGTATTCAGTACAGAAAAAAAGCTAAATATTGGTTGAGCCTATGTAGGCAACTATGGGTAGTGACTGACCACAACTGAGTCTTTCATTAAAAAAATCTGTCTGTTTTTGAGAGAAAGTGAGTAAAGTGGTGATGTGAACCCACTGCACCTCTGTGGTAGCTGATATATATATATATATATATATATATATATATATATATAATCATAAATATCTAAGAGTTGAGTCATGTTTCCCTCATTGACACTACAGTTCAGTAGATTCTGATGATAACTGAAAGGGAGTCTGTGTTTGTTACAGATTGAAGTGTCGACCATTATCTCCCAGGCAGGGGTGACACTCAGTGGCCTGGTGTCAAGGACACAAGACCTGGTGTCCAAACTGAAGACACTCCAGTTGGACAGACACGAATTTGTTTGTCTTAAATATCTGGTCCTGTTCAACCCAGGTGAGTTGTTGTTTTTCAAAGTCCAGACAATGTGTGAGTGTTCGGATGCGTTCATAATCCATATCCGTGCCTGTCTGTGCAGATGTGAAGGACTTGCAGGGTCGCAGTCAGGTGGAGCAGATCCAAGAGAGGGTGAATCGAGCCTTGATGGAGCACACTCACTACATCCACCCTGGACACTCAGACAAGTTTGGTCAGCTGCTGCTGAGGCTTCCTGAGGTACGCAGCATCAGCCTGCAGGTTGAGGAGTATTTGTACCAGCGCCATCTTCTTGGGGATTTGCCCTGCAACTCTTTGCTGGCTGAAATGCTCCACACCAAGCACAACTGAGAAGACGACGTGGTGATAATGATGTTTTTCTGTTTCATCATAGACATTAACATGTGTGATGTCCTCACTTCACTTCAGTCACAGAAGCCTGTGTCGTTCCAGCTTAGAGTCTGCTCCAGACATTTTGATGCCTATAGTGTGATTTGGCGCCCTCCATGGTCCCCTATTGTAACTACTTATTAGGGGCATCACAGCACCCCCTCCTACAGCAAACACCGGCCCAGGACACTGCCTACACTTGGTCTGTGTTAAAAACCGACTCTCTTTGCATCAACAGGCAGTGTATTTTTATACCGTATTCCACCTATGAAATAAGCACAGACGTCAGCTAAGAAGCACAGAATACAGAGTTGAGATTTTTTTTCTCAGCTCGATCTTCAGCCTATTCACAGCCACAATTATGAAACCACACACAGACATACACAAACGTTCGGTTTTGCAGGATCATTTTTGTGAATCTTGAAACCACAAAGCTTACGCTAGTTCGGTAACCACTGCAGCAGTTCTCTATCAGCAGTATTAACACAGCCGTAACACATGATGTCTTGGAGGACTTAAGATCAAAGCACAATAAACAGAAAATAATAAACAATAGTCGTATATAAAAAAGTGTACGTTGTCTTTGTCCTTTTGTTTGGTAATAAAAGTATGAATAAGGTGTTTAGTTCTTGTACACACATTATTATTTTTCAACTACGTTTTGGCCGATGTTTATTTATCTTTTAGTTGTTTTAGCAAAATATCTAGTCTAGCTTTTAGTTTAAGAATAATAATTTTCTCTAACTATGTTTTAGCTGGGCTAATGACATTTCAAACACTAATTTACTAACAGTGCTTGAAAGCTAATGTAGGATGTTTATTTAAAAAAAATCTAATAAATTATCTCAGTTAACATGGTAATTTTTAAATTGTGAATTACAAACAAGTGGCAATGAAAAATAAAAATATATATATGTAAATGGTTCAAAAAGGAGTTTATTTGTCTGGTCCAGTTTAAAGGACAATCATTCAATACAAAGGACATAAACAATTGCTGGCACAAAAGAAACCGTGATGAATGAGCGATGAAATGAATGAGTGACACAACACCTAAACCAAAATGATGTGTGGAAACTGAAACTAAATATCAAATGAAACATCTAATGTAAACTGAATAAATACACCTTTGTGTGTTGTAGGATTTTAAAAGGGAAGGGAGAATTGCACATGATCAATTTAAAGTGTTGACTACCACACAGTTCTCTATACAAACATAAATACAACCAAAGAAATCATCTACGCGCACACACACACACACACACACACACGCACGCACACACACACACACACACACACACACTCAATCACCTCTTTTATTTTTATTTTACACACTTTGCTCCACCCATCAAAGGCAGTAACAGCTGCATCACCGCCCGTGCTGGAGCAGATGCTGGAGACTCAGAAACACAGGTTAACGTCCTTCAGTTAGTTAGTGGACAATTACTGCCCACAGAAAAAAAAAACCTCACTCTGTGGAAACACATACAGACAAAGAACTATCACACGATGACCTCGAAGATTTATTCAGCCCTACAGTAGACAAAATATTTAGGCAAGCTTAGTCTATTTGACAATAACTATTTATTCCCATTCACTCATTCTCCTCTCAAAGACAAATCTCACTAATGTTCAAGCAGCAGGCTAGGTTATCCATAGCTTACAAAGTCAATTTTTACAAATCATCATCAGAGAAAAACAAAATCCTAGTAATCGGCATTCATTAAATTAAATTAGCACTGATTATTACGTTCACACTTAGCTGTCCCTAAATAATATCAAACATGAAGAAAAGCCCCTCCCTCATGTTTCCAGTATTGGTTTAAAAATTGCCATAACAGTTTAATTTAACATTTAGAAATGAGAAGGTAAATGTGGAGGAAAATGTGTTATTCTTTCAACCTATAAAGTCATAGTGGTTTGCCCAACAACAATCACATTCATTAGAATAAAAAAACATCCAGATGTCTGCAGCTGGAGGTATTAGGGAGAAACTATGGAGGCACAAGCAGTCGCTTGGTTGACAAACCTACTGATGTGGACAGGGCCCCACCACCTGTGCAGCCTGCAGCGAAACCAGCCGGTCTGGTGATTTTAGGTCCTGAGTAACCAATAATAATCACCTCTGACAGAATGAGTGGTTAGTAGGTGTCTTACATTCATTGTTTAGCAGTTACCTGCAGTACTGAGCCACTTTTTTTTCAGCAGACTGGAGAGCTCAAAGAAAAGGCAGCAACAGGAAATGCAAGCAGAATAAAGAGGGTCAAGAACTACTCTGGACCAAAATACTGTAGAGTGGGCGAAGGCAGTACTGGTTCTCTCCTCTTATCAAAGAGCTAAAAACAAATCTCGAGAGAGAGAGAGAGAGAGAGAGGGGAGGGGCTGCAGGGTAAGGCAAGGTGTAGTTAGGCAGGAAGCAACAAAATGAAACCTTTTGACAATGTGGGACTAATCAGAAACAAGACAACGATGCTGCGGCGTCTGAACGAATAAGTGACTGGCCCATACATTTGGCATGTAATGTTAGCTGGACTGTTCTCGATTGTTTTCTTCAGCGTCCATTGTTCATCTATTCAACTAATAACTGCATTCACGTGCCTTACTGACAAAAATATAGCGCAATAGAAGTCATTTCCCTGAAAGATTAGTTCTCTACCCATCCTCTGTGTGATTTTATTTGGGGGTGGCGAGCTTCTTGGGCGTCCCTGGGCGCTTTTGCCAGAAGTGACCAGGGATGGTAAAGGCATCTACACTCATGGACATAGTTTTGGATGGTATGACAGTGAACTGCTTGCGGTCAGAGCTGTATTTGTAAATAGATTCTACCATCTCCGGCATGACAACGCGGGGGCCAATGCCAGTGAGACGTTCCATTTCTTCAGTTTCAGGGTTCATGGTATAAACTGCTCTGAACTGGCAGCTGGCATCTCTAAAGAGGATGAGGAAATGATTGGCAGTGCTCTTCTCCATGTCCTGTATAGAAAAAAACCCCGTCAACCCCATCATGATAAAAATGCATTTGTGTATTTCATGGCCACAAGTTTATCATCTGGAAGGTTTATCTTCACTTTCCAATTTGGCTTTCCCAGGACTTACTTTGGTAGGAATTATTTATATTTTTTCAACTCTATCAAATCAATTGTTTACCTCAACAATCTTGTTTTTCTGAGGTTCATTGACTTTTCCAGCCAGGCAGCAGCGACTGATGGCATTATGAATGATGAACTTGTTTGATTTAAAGCTTGGCTCCTTGTACAGCTTTGGTCCTGTAAAACACAGCATTTCAAAAAAATATAAACAGGGAAACTAATTATACTTTCATTTCTTCAAAACCTTTGATGCAACAAAAAAAACATGAATGGAAAAAAAAAATAGACCTGACCATCAGGAGGATTTATATTTGTATAGTATGATGCAGTATTTTAGAAACAACTTATTCAGGTCAGACCTGTTTTTGTGCCAGGTACACCTGAACATACTACTGACCTGTGTATTCTGGAATTGAGGCTGGAGAGGAAATGGTGGAGCCATTTTCCCAGTCTCTCTCTCCGTTAAGGGCAATTGATCGTCCTGGTGATCTGTGCCGTGACGGAGAGTGTGAACGGCTGGAAGCATCAAAGAAACACTTTCAGGAGAAAGGTCATCACCTGACCTTCAGGGTATTTTCTGTGTTCACATTTATTTTTTACATTTTCATTACAACCTTGGCATGAATTCATGAAATAAACCTTGCTTGGAATGAAAAAAAGTTATTTTTCAATGACAAACTATAGTTATGGTTATTTGTAACATATATTACCATATTTCTCCACAAAAGACCGTAAAGGTTTTTCTTTTGGTGTACCAGCATCATTTTGTGAACTGTCTACAATCCCTTATCGTTTTTAATGCAAAAAAAAAAACAACAGCAGGCTCTAAAATTTGCGTCTTACCTTGGAGACTTCCTTACAGACAGGTCATTGGCCATGGAAGACAGGTTCATGGATGAGTGAGAGTACACTTTGTTCAGCCTGGTGCCTACAAAGAGGAAATGTTCACAATCATATCAGTTTACTGAATCAATGTTAGAATTAAAACACATTCCTGAGAAAGAAAACAAGTTCCAAGTAACACTTTTCATTATTCATTACCATTTCTGAACTGTGCAAAGTAAACTGACTGATTCTACATCAAGAATTTAACAAAACAATGGAATATAACCCACACCTATCACTGCAAACTTTTAGAAAAACCGCAGAAGGTATGTGCAGCAGATTACGTAGGAATATGTATTAAGATTACCCATGAAGCCCTTGGCAGGGCTTTGAGAAAGCATGGAGTCATCTCTGAACACAGTCTTTGGTCTCTGCTTCTTGACACCACGGACTGTAGTGGGTTTCTGTCTCAGCACCTTGTCCAGGTCTTCCATGATCTTCAGCTGTTGTCTCCGTTCATACTCCTGCCTGGTGAATTCTCCTCTGCGCTGAGGTGTTCCTTCCACTGGAGTGGTTTTTGCTGCTGGAGGCGTGCCAGGAGTCTGGGGTCTGTCCTCACTCTTAGTACCCCAACCCTCAATGGTCATCCACTGAGGCTTGCTAGAAGTTAATGACAATTAATTCAAATTGTACATTGTCCAACGGCCAGCTACATTCCTCCTTTGCTCAACTGATGGACCAGGACTTTCATGCTTTTTGTTTATGAGCAGTATTTTACATTTCCATTTAAATACTTACTTTACAGTAAACACAAATGAAAAAAACAAATAATCAAAGCTTTTATTTAAATGAAAGCTTATAAAGCATAAAACTGAAATGTGACTGATATTAAAGCAGCTGGCCAGGTTTAAGTTTCTGAAAGATTATCAGAAACTGATGCGAGTATTATAGAGGCCTATCATATGGATAACAGCAAAATTACAAATGAATACAAATATTATCTTTTTAAATAGCAAAGTTAAAAATGCCTACTTAAAATGTACTATGTGTGTGTGTGTGAAGGCTCTTACTTTGATTCTTTTTCTTTTTCCTGTTCAAGTTTACGCCGTTTCATTTCTTCTGCTCTCTTCTGTTGTTTTTCCAGCAAGGCTGCCTTTCGCTGCGCCATCTCGTCCTCTGGCCTCTCCTTGTCATCCTAATAATAAACACAGAAAAATAGTTACGCCATTTGTGATAATAAGTGAAAGCATAATTATCAGAGTAATTAGTGGACATACCTTGAAAAAGAAACCCACCCCTCCTTTCAACTCAGATTCTGTCTGGTCATTTACGGAGTCAGTACGGAAGGCATCAGGAAGATGTTCTTCTGCTTCTCCATCTTGCAGAGCAGATAGCGGGATCTCAATAAGGCTACTGCGTTTGCCATTCACCATTCCTGTAGGGACATCGCTCTCAAAAGAGCACTCCGATGGAGCACCAGAGCTGTAGCCTCCGCCTACACCACCTTCCTTCCTAGCTGCATGACCATCCAAAGAACCAGCCTCTAGGTCCATGCTAAATATGCTCTGGTCATCGTTAAAGCCTACCTCAGACAGGGAATCGTCTACAGTGGACCGCGGTGTTGGGGTTTGTACTGGAGTAAGTGTTGGTGTGGCAATGGGAGTTGATCCTGCTGAGTGCAGATCATCCAAGCTGCCAGAGTCACCGATGGAGAAGGAAGAGGAGGTCTGGATTTGGGACTGCCGGGGAACCACTCGACGTAGGTGGGGGATTCGGTCAACATTTTGAGGAGGATTGAGAACCCTTGAAAGGGCTTGTGGTTTACTGTCTAGTGTGCGGCTGCTCTGGTGGTGTTTTGGGCTTTTAGGGGGCACAGACTGGGTTCTGCGTTGGACTTGAGGGGACTTAGTTGGAGTGGTGTGGTTTGTGATTCTTCGTGATGGAGATGGAGAGGAGGAGGCCGAATTCAAACTTCGGTAAGATTCTCGATGCATGCGTGAAGGTGCCGGTGTGGAGGTTCTGGGACTGGCTGGTATAACCCAGGACTTATTGTTAGGAGAAGGATTTTTTTTTATGATTAGCTGGTTCTGCTGCTCAGTCAAGCGCTGCATGTCACTTTGCAGGGAGCTCAGAGCAGCAGTCAACTTTGACACAGCATTGTTGTAGTCTCCCAGAGGAGCTACCATTTTATCTGGTTTCACTGCATCTTTCTCCCATTGTGTACCAGCCTTGTCTTGGGAGTGATTGAAGAATTTGCTGAGCTCTTCTTTCATATTACCTTCATTCTTCACTATAGGGTGCTGCTCATCTTGAACTTGTTGGTTATCCTCCTCCATACGAGCTAGCCTTTCTTCAAGTGTTAGGTTAGCCAGCTCTTCTTCTGTGCCTGAAGTACTGACTCTTCCATTGCTTCCCTCTCCTTCACCTTCATCCTGTTCTTTCTTTAACTGCAGGAAGGCACTCTTACCCAGTCTTTGTCGATGCTTGGCAAATATGGCCTCAATGCGTTTCTTCTGAGCTTCAATTGCTTTGCGTTTTTCCTCAAGTCTTGCCCCCAGTTCAGACACCTCATTATTCAGTTCTGAACCTTTGCCGTCACTGTCCTCTGATTTTTTTGCCCACGAGGTCATCTGAGGAGATTCAGTGGCTTTTGGAGAACCTGCAATTTGCTTCCTTTTGCGCTCTGCAAAGCTGGTCAGCTTCACACCACTATCAAATTCACTAGCAGCAGGTGTGGCGGGAGTGGACCGTGTCCTCGGCATGTCTTCGGATGCATCTGAGTCCACACTTCCATCTCTCAAGACTGAATCATCATCCCGCGAACATTCAGAAGTGTTTCTGGTGCGAGTAGGCTCTTTGGAATCCAACGGCCGGTGTGTCATTGCTGAGCATGAAGGGGCCGAGCTGCTAATGGCCGCTAAGTTGACTGTGTGCCTTAAACTGGCGGGGTCGTCAGGAGAGTGGAGATAGAAGCCGTCAGGGGCACCGTCCGGATGTAAACGTGGCTCCAGCTTGCCCTCATTGTGGATAATTTGCAGAGCTTCCTCAATTGTAGGCAGCTCTCCTGGTTCGCTCCCCACAAGACCATTCTGCTCAACCAACCTTGGAACGCTGGAGGTTGGTTGGTTCGTCCAGGAAGATCTCTGTGGGCCAGCTGGGCCCAGGGGCTTTTTAAGCACATGACTAATGTCTTCAGGAGGGGTGTAAGGAGTACGAATGCTGCTTTGGGCTGCTGGATTTAGCTGGTCCGAGCTTACAGATCGGGTTATTACAGGGTTGCCCATGACAATGTCTACATCACTGTCCAAGCCAAAGGGAATGCTAAAGGACACTGCAGACAATGGGCGGCTAGGAAAAAAATAAAAAGGTTAAGCATGAAATAGTATTAATGACAGTGACAGCAGGTTAGTTTTTGACTTACCTCAGAGACTTTTTGCTCCAAGTCTTTCCAACTCCTTCTATATGAGACATTGAGGTAGACTGAGTCAAAGATCCTGAGTACAATGGGATACACACAGATGTGTAAGGCATGCACACAACACAGGGAAACACATCACAAATGCACATAGCAACCAGAAAGTGTACCAATAAATACATAAAAAAACTACATACAAAATGCATAAGAACAAAGACAACAAAGACATGCATTAGTATTGATGGAATGAAGCGTTTCAACTGGAGAATTCACAAACACCAGGATAGATATAAAGACGAGAAGATTGTTCAACTCTTACCTGAGGCAGGTGAAGAGATGGGGAGAAAGGGCTTTTTGAAAATTGATGGGGAGGTACTGTAAGTTAAAATAATTAAATTAGCAGGAGCATTTCAAAGATGCAGCAGACTAATAAAGAGACATAAATATTGAATCCATCCAGTACCTGCTGCTGCGCAGGCCACTTAATTTTTCTGGTGTGGCTCCATCTACTAAAAACATAAATATTTATAATTAGATATTCATTAGTAATCTGCTGTTTGTAGGAAGTCCATTAATCCTGACCTTTACATACCCAGTGAGTTAAGTGGCTGAACAAAGTCTGGTTTTTGAACTTCAAAACAGCTAAGCAGTTCAGCTAGGAAGCTCAGAAAATTGCACTAAAAACACAGACCAAACAGATAAAAAAATGGTTATTAGACAATGTGCATGATTTATCTGACAGATAGACAGAAAAAATACATACCTGGAGCTCTTTTGGTACATACAGCATATCTTCCAATGTTAAGTGACAGCAGCATTTTAGACAGCTGTCGCAGAATTCCCGGATGAACTGCAGGTTGTATAGGCTGTCTGGTACCGACATGGAATCCTTCATACAAACATCTGACAGGAAGAAAGACAATTAACAAAATGCATGTTTTACTCAAACATTGTGGTTATAGTCGTAGGAGTTATTACCTTCAAGTCTTAGCAGGCCAGGACAATAGTAATGTATTACAGCAGCAACAGCACTACCACTGGACAAATCTTTGACTTCATTCACCACAGGAAAGACAGGTTTTTGTTTGGACTGAATATTATCCTTTCTGTAGCGCAGCTGAAAATGAAAATACAACAACACACAATCAAATACTATGCCTATGTCTTTTATTTAAATATATTAATATTCAACTAAACTGCAGGGTTAGGCAATATGGTCCAAAATGATATCCTGATTTTTTTTTTTTTTTGGAAACTTTAATATATGATATTTTTACTATTTCAATATTTAACCTGATGAAATGATAATTGGAAAAAAGCCCAGAATTTCCAATCACACAGATTGTATTTTTAATAATATAGTATGTAAAAAAATATTAAATTCAATAACATTTTATTAAACACATGCTTCCCAGTGTATACAAAACATCTATTATTGTGAGAATAAATAATTCACAAAAGTTAAACAGTTGTTACAACTAGGTAATTCATGTTGTAATGTCTCCCAAGTGATAAGTACACTTAAAGCAGTTTTATTTTAACAAAATATACCAGGAAAATCTATGAACAGTGCTGCCGTCTCATGAATCAAACTGATGCTCAACTCTCCTGACCGCACCGCACATCCCCCCCTTTATGACGCTGATGGAAGAGACTTCTTGTGGTTTGGACATTAGTTTAAACTGATTTATCGCACTATAAAAATAATAATATTTTACATCTGACACTTTGAACCTCAACTACTGATAAATGTCCTTCTCTTCTGTAAACTACCAGCTTCTTGGCACACACTCATTAAGTTGTCACTCAGTGTGAGAGAGGCTGAGCAGAACAAAGTTAAAGACAGACATTAATAAGATAAAGGCCAGGATTGCAAAACTGTCTGTTTTATGAATAAAACTGTATATCATTTTAGGACTAAAGAGCATATATCAATATACATAATATAGTCTCATCTACATCGTATACTGCATACAGACTAATTATATATCTTTAAAACCTGATTTATCACCCGGCCCTAAGATTGTAAAAAAACCCAAAACAAAACAGAAAATAAAAAGAAAGACAAGTTTATGCTAATGTACATAAGAGAATTCCAAGGCAGCCACTCCATCAGAGGATAGGAGGAAGATTTTGTCAGAATAGGTGAAAGTGCATGAAGGTCAAATGAGGAAGAGGGGAAAAAAGAAAGACTGAGATGTTATGTATCATGTAAGTCGCCACAGAAACAGTACGCCGTCAGCAAGGACTGACTCACACCATCAGCAGGGACAAGGTAACAAAAAGTCTCAACAAACCAGTTTTTCTCACACACACACACTGACACACTATGTAGTATTAACTGTAGTTCATGCATCACTTGGGTTTTTCCCACTCCTCCGCCATGCCTTGACTTATTGCATTTACTAGTATGTTAGGAAATTTGTCGTGCAATGAACTGCAGCCTACGACGTGGTGCAAACTAACATTTTCAAACTAGTAAATGGGGGGAAAAACACACCTGACCATCAGATATTTGCTGATAATTTTGATGAGGACACTGGAGGGATGAAGGGACAGGGAGAGGGAGCAGAGGAAAGAAGGGAACTTACAGGAACAAGTTTCCAGTACCACCGAGTAGGACACTGTTAGAGAGGAAATGGAAAGGAAATAAAGAAAGAGGAGGGCGTGAAGAACAGGAGCACAACAAGAGGTATTAAGCCTACCGTGAAAGCACTAGGGCCAACGAGACCACAGTGCATGACATGAATACCAGAGAAATCAATGAAACTGCACTTTATTTTTTGTATCAACTAATAATTGTTGAGTAAAAAGGAATGAGAGCCATAATGAACAATAGCAATGATGTAAACCTAACAAAAACGATTGCTTTTTACATCAATGGGTACTTATTATCACAGAGACAGTCACATATGTTTGGTTGTAATATAGTGTGGTAACAGACAAACTCACAGTGGGCTGAAGAGGTTGGGTTTCTGTAGCCTGAGGTGAATCCTCCTGGGAATCTTCAGTAAGTTCTCGAAGTTTCTGATTTAACTGAAAAATAAGGAGATTTTGTTGTGAGGGACTACTGTTTGTATTGTACCAAACAGTATTTTCACAAGATCTGTCATATCTTAAGAAGTCACAATAAATAAAACATGTATTTACACCACTTTGTATTAAACTTTGTATTTTTTTTTTTTTTTTTTGGGAAAATACCAACTTTTTTGGGGGCCAAAGGTCATCCAAGATGGACCCAGTGAGAATAGAAGAGTGTTGTTTAGTCAGTGTTTGTGCATCTGGGTAGATGGGTGTTACTGTATGAAGGCCAATGTCTCTTCTACCAGTGGCAGTGTCTGAACAGCATTGTCCAGACAATTATCTCACAGCTTTTTTTTAAGCAATCTCCTTGTGACACTAAATACATTTCAGTTCCAACATGTATTTTTCAACATTCACCTTATTATTTAAAGTTCGACTGGATTGCCTGATGACAGATGTTAGTTTTTATTGCATTTTAAGTACACTGGGTAGTCTCCAGTCAAATTTTGAGGATACATTCATGTGAGATATTTCTGACATGTGTGTGACATGTGTGTGAATCAGTCCTTACTACATTAATCCAATGAAGGAGAGCATCTTCCCATTTGGTAGCTCTACCAAGCAGCTCAGCAGAGGCACATTTCTTCACCACTGTCACAGTCTCCATGCCTCCCACTGCCATCAGGGCGTCTATTACTGCAAGGTGAGCATTCTACAACAATCACATAGAAGAAAAAGTGAAAGGGTCAGTGGTGGCATCAGTCAGGGTTACTGTAGTTAATGTCAATTTGCTTAACAAAAGAAATTAGCTATCTCAACACAACAGTACAATAGGCATTACTAAATCTACAGTAGTGTACTGCAAAGCAGCACAACACAAGTCACCTCGCAATGTTGCAACACTAGTAGTATTTACCAACAGCAAACTGCAGAGGTCACCAGAGACCAGCGGTAAGTCACAAACACTATGACGAGTTTTCAGCAAGTAAATAGAGACAAGGGCAGATGTGGATGAACTCTGGACCTATGTTTGTACAGTCCTTAAATCATTAAATGGGTAGTGGACTGTTACATCATTACACGTGTGTCCCTGGAGCTCAACTACTTCACCTTTCTTCCAGCTTCCACGCAATTAAATATTTCTTCATGACTCATAACTGAATAAGGAAGACATAGAAGTGTTGCCACTCTGTTTAAAACTATTTCTGTGTTTTACTGCGTATTAAATGACAAAAAACATTAAAAGCACATCCTGATCAGAGATGTAGTGCCCCACCTGCGTTGTCATGTTCGTCTGTTTTATAATTCTCAAATCTTTGGTTCCTGAATTTTAACATTTTTGGCTAGTCTCAAACAGTATCATTAAGATCCTGTGACATTAAGTTTCAGTTAACACAACAAACACCTCAAACATAAATGGAGGAGACAGACCAGTCACCAACAACACATTCCTCAGGGGGCCAAGGAGCCACTTCACAATCTTATGTTCCGAGCCTAATCTGTTCAAATCAGTGCCTGTTGCCTTTTGCTACTTAAAGATTCCAAATGGGGGTTGAACATTCTTACACTAACCTCTTTATTTAAGGTCCAGCTCTGTACATGAGCCCATGTGGACAAATTAGTGTTGATGCAAAATGTTGACCTGGACAAACATAATGGGTCAAACAGTAGGGGCAAATGGAGCAAATTCACGTCAAATTATATTAAAAAATGTGTAGTTTGGCAAATCTTTGATAAATATACAAACCACTGGCTGACCAGGTTTTCATACAGATGTTTGCAGATAAAAAAAACGCAAAATCAAAGAGTAGAAGAGTAGAAGGAGGCGTTGCTAGTGGATTTCCCTCTGCAGACCCAGGAGAGCTCGCTAAATTAAATCACAAGTCTCCTTAATGAGAGGGGAGAGAGGAGCAAATCATGAACACACAACACAGACACTGCCAGATCACCATAACAACCATCCAGCTGACCCACAATGCATCTCAACACAAGCCTGACCACAGCGCTGCTCTGTGCTGTGGCTCAGCACCTACTCTCTCCTCAGAAACAAACAAAAAAAAAGTTCAGACTTCACAAAAGAGCAAAACAAAGAATGGGAAATAATAATAATAATATTTCCTTCATTATATTTCCTTCATTAAATGCAGTAGCGGGTCATCTTTATGGTTCTAGTAGGGATAATCTGTTTACCTAATTTTGTCCACTGTGTCAGACAAGGAATGTAAAGCTACATCCTGATTATGTCGGAAATATGACTTAACCCCTTCCCCCTACTATGTCTGGAGCCTAATGAGGGAGAAACAACAGAGGGCTCTGACTGGTGGGGGGCACATGCTGGTATTTGTACCGGACTCTCCATGTGAATAAATGTGTCGAGATTAAGCAAGTAATACCAGTCCAGCTTAACGTGTACAAGACCTAATATGGAAAAGTTTATTTACTACACACTAAGCAAAGATCAAGGCATAAACAAATAGAATATATATTTTTGATACTCCTGACTGCTCACAACTGACACTTGGCCTCATGAGGAGTTGAACTCACTCACTGACTTCATTGTGTGACACAGTCATTAATACCCTCTGCATGGAAATCAATATGAGCATGTTTTAAAAGAGGTTTCACAATTTTCCACCGTATCGTCTAACAGTAGATTTAGGGATTAGGTTACAATGGGGATATTGTGAGATATGTTGGATAAATGTACAGTTAGCAACCATTTCTGGTGTGTCTAGTTGTGGATGATGCCATTCAATCAGCAGAGCATATTATCAGATTATCTATAATCTTCATGGATCTCTGCTGTCAATCTCAGGAGTAATGAGGCTGGACTGACTGGAGGATGAATCGCCAGCAACCAATACAGACAAAGGGGAAAGATCCAAGTCAGGTAGATAAGAATATACCTTAAAACTTCTGTACCATTACTACAGTACATTGAGAAAAAAAAATGTTGACAGTTTTGGGAACATAAACTTAAAGATAGAATTGAACTACCTTTTCTTTTTGATTGAAGAGCTCATCCATTTTATTTTTATTTTAGCATTATGGGTAACATTTGACTGAAGAATTTCAGTGTCAAGAGACAAGGACATAGAAAAAAATATTTCATCCTTCTGCAGCTGTGACAGCATTATAAGAGGGCTATTACTGTATTAGTTATATGTCACATCAACTTATATAGCAGTGCTGCAGCAGATTGCGGCTTCTCCAAAGCTGTTTACTGGCTTGATGCTCCATCCTTTAATTCTGCAGTGACATGACCCACTTTCATTGTTTGTCACATTGTAGGTACTTTGTCAGTCGGTGGCAGACAATGTCAAGCTGCAGCCGAGTAACAATCAGTGACCACAGGTTTCACAAGCTTGCAAAGCATTCGGTAAAGGCATCTATCAAGGACAGAGAGCAGTCAGAGAGCTTGGTGTTGAGTGGGTCTAGATCCTGCCTTCAGTAAAAGACAAAAGTAGTAATTACATTAATATTCATGGGAATACTCACTGGTCCAGCTTTTGTGGCTTACACACACAGTTGCTGATAATATGTGTGGTCATAATATGTTTGGTCATTTAACTCTAACTGAGCCATGGCCAATATCTGTGTTCCCGAGATAAGATACAGACAAACACGACAATAATAAAAACTCTGGTTTGCAGTGGCTTCTGAAATTGGGGGTGAGTTGCCTTTTACCATCTGAGCAAGTAAAAGGTGGCCCACAGTCAAACTAATTTAATTATGGGGAAATTACACTCATTTGTAATTTCCTTTGTTCAATGAGGTGAAAGTCAATTTTTCAACGTGGGGAGCGGCTTGACAATAGTCCTATCTTTAAAAAAAGGTGACAAGGTGACAAAAAAAAGGGAAACTAGTTACTTCATGGTTACAAGGAAAATGCAGCTGCACCCACAGCTTGACTACTGTGACATGATTATCAGATAGCACATAATTTGTAGGTTTCAGATTCAGAACCTTCTACTATAAATTATACCATGAAAAAAGGTAAGAAAGGGAGGGAGACAGAGGGAGAAACATAGACAAAGACCAAAAAAATGACTAAAGGAGACAGAGACAAAGATAGACAGGGAGAGAGAGAGAGAGAGACAGGGAGAGAGGGAGAGAGAGAGACAGGGAGAGGGAGAGAGAGAGAGAGAGAGAGAGAGAGAGAGAGAAAGGGGGAGAGAGCCTGGGTTACACAGGGATGTATTGTAAATGACTTAGGGCAACTAAGAAGAACCAGTTTCTCTGGATTTACCTAAAGAAGGCAGACTATTCTGTCTTAACAGGGTATCTAACATTTCACCAGAACTGTTCAGCCATTGTTCTGCTCTTGACCATCTATTGTGTCAAGGCTCTACCTCCATCCCTATCACACCCACAAAGTAAAATGGTCCTCCTGTGTGTCACCAATCCCGCTTTAGCTTCGCTCCCAGCAGCTGGATCCACTCATCCTCTCAGATCAACAGAGAGGTGGGGGAAGGTCAGATGAGTGGGGGTCTACTTGATGTCCTTTAATCCCTCAATTCAAAGCAGAAGCAAGGCCTCATATCAACAACAAAGTCCTGCTACTGTGCAGTGCTCCTGTCTAGCAGAGCACACAGTATATTTTGCTGCATGTTGGCATATAGATGTGAGTGTCAGCCCATATCTCCCTCCAGCTTTGCAGTAATGCCACACTAGAAGCAGACTCACAGTCTTGGGTTAGTGGGTTAGAGTCTTGAGACTATGAGTCTCCTAACAATCTTAAATCAACAAAACTGCATAACACATATATTAAATGTTTTACTAACAATTCAGTGTTTACTCCTACTCAAGCACTATTACTTTACCATTTTAATGGGTTTGTGACGGAGGTCTGCATCGGTCACTTGCGTCTCATCTTTGTAGAACATGCCTTTCTCAGTGAGCAGCTCCAGCAAGGCAACGTTGTCTTTGGGCTGTTTATCAGTTCCAGTTTCACCTAGTAGAAGGCTGTATGTGCGGCAGTAGAGTTCCGAGGACTGAAGAAGACGCATGACTGGGGGTTTAAGGTGCTCCTGTTCATATTGGTCACAGTAGAAGGGATCACTCAGCTCTCCAGGAACATTTTCTATGCAGAACAAAAATAGATAGAGTGATCAATTTGTTCAAGAAACATTGGTGCCAATAGAGAAATGGGCACAATGCAAAAACGGTTAATAATATTTTTACTTCTTATCGTCAAACACTCCAAACATTGATTGATTATCCTGAAACATAAAATTGTATGCTGGGAAAAAGCCAGTTGATGATTAAACAGTAGATACAAGTTAAAAATCTTTAATGGAAACACATTTTGATTTTTTAAGAATTAAGCCAAAATCTGTAAAAATTCTAGAAAATTCCTAAAAACAGAAATTTGACACACCCTATGTTAAACTGGTTTCTCTGGGTCAGGATCTTAACAGTAGGAAACTCAATAACTCATCTGTCTCTGTAAACAAACTGCAAAACCCATCTTGTTGTTTTAAATGGCTCTGGGGAGGGGGGCAAACGTGACAAGCTGAAATACTAGCACTGTGCCTGAAAAGAGAAAGGAGGACTGTAAGAGGTATGCATGTTAAAGAGTGCTCAACATTGTCGTCCATACAAAAACAAAGGGGTTATTGGTGGACGGTATCACTTTATTGAGGTGCCATTATTAATTCAGGGTGAGGGGAGACAATGAAGACAAAAGATGTCAGACAACACTCTTAGTCAGACCACAATAGTGCATGACTTGGTGGTAACACTGCACTGCTCAGTTTACTGCAGTAGAAGTAGAAATAGGGATTTACGCATACTGCAGTCAAAATGTACAACGTAGGCCTTAGATTCACAAAGCCTGCTTAGTGTTTCAAAAAGAAAAAAAAAAACCTTTACCAGAAGGCAAAGTAGAATGCAAATGCTGCATCTCAGTAAGATGAGAGAGTTGGATAAGGGCTTAATTTTCCTAAGGGAGAGACTAGCCATGAATAATGATATGGCACAAAATATACCAAAGAAATGAAGTTTCATTTTTTACCTGGTCTACCAGAAAATAACTATTAACACGAAATGAACCAGAAAGTCATGTCAGCAGAATGCCTCCTCTGACATCACTACTTCTTTAAGAAAATATTTACACTGAAAACACCAGCCAGGGTGTTTGCATAAACTTGAGCAACAGCTTTAGGGATCACTGCGTGTCTACTGTTCTCAGTATAAGTTAAAAGCTAAACATGTACGCAAGGTTATTATTACGTTCAAACATTATTATACTGAGGAGCAGGAGGATCACACTAACTAGAGAGGGTGAAGTCAGAATTTACCATAAGCTCAAGAAGGGATTTTAGGACTAATAGAGTTTTGTTCACTTTTAACTTTTTTACACATTGTTTTGAAAATCATTAACCAAGGGAAGACTAGGGAAATGTCCACATCGTCGATCATTATGAATAATATTTAGCAAAGAAGCTAAACTAATCTGACTGAAGTCAGCTAGCCAGACTGCTGTTAGCCAGCAGTAGTGTTTGGTATAATGCTGATAACAAGAGTCACATGTCCTTCTACGTATTTGTCTGCTTGAGCTGGCATGTTGCTGACATTACAACACTGAGTGTTTTAGTGTAATCAAGACCAACAGAGCTAGACTACTACAAAACCAATAAAAACAGTTTCACAATTCATGGAAGAACACAATTATTCCTAACATATATTCAGGTGAGTGTTGTTACTATGTGTTAGAATGAGGATGGCTGACAGAACTGAAACAGTTGTAGAGTAAGTTAAAACTTTATGGAGCAAATATAGGATACTGTTTCTGTTTCAAAAATGTCTAGAAACTTGAAAATATTCCTAATGATACCATTTTTTTGGACAAGCAAACATGAACTCCAGGCAACAGACGGCACGAAAAATAATAAAAACCTGGACATGAGAGTCTGCCTATAATGTTATGGTCAGACATGCACAGCGGGTGCAGGGTCATTGGACCTGTTAGACATGTTATTATTTGACATGTTAATTTGGTGGTACTGTTAACCATCAGGAGCAGGACAAGACTATCAATTTCCAACTATACCAGATGTTTAGCTTGGTCAATACCCCAATGTTCATGTGAACAACACTGCTAAATAACTACTATTCTGAGAGGTAATTCTGGGGATGATAGGTATTTTAATTCTGTGACCAGTCATTCTGTCTATAAAATGCAAAAAATTGTGCCACCCAACTGCTTCACATAACATATTTTGCAACTCTCATTAGTGTGTACCTCTTTGATGGAGAACATTTAAGAAGTAAGAAAAATAGGGATTTGTAACAGAAGAAAAAAAACCCTGGCATTTTTGAGAGATCGAGCTGCCACGCCAGCCATGGAGAGACATATGCTATTCTTTATTCTCAAGTAAGGGTGACTTTTTGTTTTTGTTTTTTTTTACATGGAACTACAGCCTTAAGTACATGCAGTGGTCTCTCGTTTATCGCGGTAGATAGGTTCTAAGGCCTGTCACGAGAACTGAATTTCCGCGAACTAGTGACACCATATTGATGCGCCATAAAATGATGATGACTTTTACTGCACAGCCGTGATTTTACGTCTCTTCAGAGGGTGGTGCCATTTCTTGGGGCACCTCTTCCACGATTTCCGAAGGTGTATCCGTAGTAGTAGCAGGGACTGGCTCTTTTTTTGCTTCCGCTGCTTCTTTTCCCAGTCAAAGAGTAACTTTAGCAAGGGACTACTGTAATACTAACACACAGTTTAACTTGGTTTAACAAAGTTTATTTTTAAACTGTTGAGTGAGGTATTTTTTTGCCATGCATCGTGTTAGAAATGGTTTGCTGAATTAAAATGAATCAATTACACATTTTCCAGTGGTTAGCCATCCATTCACACAGGTTCGGCTAAATCATATAAGACTGTTTAGTAAACAGTGAAATGAATATAGAACTTACGTTTCTTTGCCTACAAAATTATACTATATACTAAAATTATACTATATACTAAAATTATATCTATAGCAACCTTGTTTTAGGCAATGTTTAGATTCAAACTTGGTCTTAAATTATATATCAAATGGTGAACGCACCATTGCATCTGTGTATGTGATATTCTGCTTTAGTAACAAGAAACTGAAATAAACTGAATTAAATGTTCTTCTCTGAATTAAGAGTGACATGCCTTATGACTGAGCCAACTACTGAAATTGAACTTCCTAAAATATTAATCTAGGACAATAATCCACTTCCCCCCTTCTATTTACCAATAACAATACAAGAACCAACAAAAGTTTGACAATAGGAAACTTTTGTGGTCAGTTCAGCTGTGTTAGCTACTGTGTGTACTGGCCTATAACACTGGCTGCTGAGAAAAAACAATTGGTTCTTCTACCTAACTGAACAATTAAGTTAGCATGCTGGCCACAACACAAATATTAAAAACATGCCTGAGTCTTATCAACAAAACAGAAAATGAAAAATACTGCAAATACATTTTAATCATTCATTTATTGTCATCTGAAATAATATATGAACACAGGGCTTTTATATATATATATGTATATATATAGTACAGGTACGATTCAGTATGTTTGTATATCCTTCCTCCAACCAGAACCATGGCCAATACTGTTAACCATCAAGAGCTGAACAAAGTTAGAATTCACCAAGACCTGGATCCAAACAAGTTTTTTACAACAAGACTATGAATTTCCAACTATACCAAATGTTTAGCTTTGTCAATACCCTGATGTTCATGTGAACAACACTGCTGTTGAGCATTCTACTTGAGTTCTCTAACGTGTTAAAAGTAAACTATTATGGATCTATTCAATAACTTGTTTGTTAATTGGAGGGATAAATATGCAGGTGTATACACAGTTAAAGCTCTGAAGGAAAGACTGTAGGTCATGCATGTTCTAAAACAGCACAGCAATAAGACTTCCTGACTCTGAGCAAACACTAACAGCTAGAGCACATCCTCCTTAGGTCCTTGTCCCTTGTTGACTCACCATAGTTACAATGACTGGGAGAGGGTGACTAATCAGTCCAACTGGATTTCAGCAGAATCCAAGTAGCTTTGTGGCTCAGCGGGGACCAACATTATAAAGAATTGCAAGGTTTCAAACAAGTAAAACTGAATAAAGCTGATTTAGATACCTGCCATTAAAACCATCTACATACATTATGGACTCAAATGAAATCTGGGTAGCAGAAATTTTTTTTTAAATAAAACAAGTCTCTCCCAAACCCACAAACAGGTGAATCAGGTGTTTCTGGTCTCATTCCACTGTCAAAGGCACAAACTACTTCGACTCACCCTCAATGATCCTCAACGTCAGGGACAGATAATGAACGACCTACTTGTCGAACCACTTTTCAATAACCTTGTTTAGCAAGTATACATAAACATGGCATCATATAATGACACAATTACTGTTAAATGTTTACCTGAACATGATGTACACATGCAACACAGAACAGATTAAATTTAATAAACAGTCATTTGAAAAACTATGTATAAAACCAATAGCCAACATTTAATGTTTTCCTCATTTAAACTCATATCTTGTATTTTCTCTCTCCTCCCCCAAATAAATTGCTGTGTGAACTATGGCATGTTAGTGTAGGCTTGTAATCAGCTTTCTAAATATTCTAAGAATATTCTACTGGTACCTGAACTTTATATAAAAGATATTTTGTAATATCATGCTCCTGACATCAGTAGACACCGAGTATGGCCTGATCTGATTCTTGTTGTCGGTAATGTTGTTATACTGCTTTGGTTTAGTTGTTGAAACTATAAACACTAAATTTACAAGAGTGGATTTGTTATGTCAAACATCTGGGTG